TTCTTTACCAGTTTGTCACAGCTGATTTAAATCTTAGCCAAATTGGAGACTACAAATTTTTCAGTTAACTGGTCCTTTAAAAGAACGATATCATTGTGCTTGTAACGGACGAGAATTTCGAAGTGACTGTTAACAATATAATAATAACCCCAAAGTTTGTAACTGACTTAGAAAGATTGCACAACTACAAAGGGGTGTCTCTTCGTTACAGTGGTGATTGTATACGGTTGGACTTGAACAGGAGCTATATGACGAATGGAGGTGATATAATATATAATATATAGACTGGGAGAATGAAATAACAATTTATGAAGTGGCATGTTATTGTTGATATGGTAAAAGGTATGTTTACTAAGATCTATGGAGGAGTGGCCTATAAAAAAGTAGATTTCTACGGAAATGATGCTGTCTGCCTTTTCAAATACTTCGTCATGGCAAACGATCGACAGAAGCTATATGTGTTGGTAATTCTAGGTATAAATTTTACATGCTTCAGCATCATAAAATCATCCTATACTGTTATTAATCTCCTCTCAATGAGATCTTCAAGAGCTGTAAGTATGAAAGGCAGGCGCAACTCAACTGTCACAAGGAGGAACCAGCAAATGAACCAAAATATTTCAATTATAATCCTCACAGATCCCCTTCATCTTGACGTGTGCACACGTTTGAAGTGGTAGATGCCTCCGCGTGGTACGCACTATTCTCAATAGTAGTGCTGCCCATCAACTCCGTCATTAACCCTCTGCTGTTTGACACAACTATTTCTAGGATCTGGTTTAAAGTTTTAAATAAAACCAAGGGTGTTGTCTCTCAAAAAGGATTAATAATATCTCATGCCGGGAAATCATCCCTCTCAAAAACAAATGAATCTACTCTTCAAACAGCGAGCCAGGCTGCATCGTCCCAAAAAGTAAAACTACGAGCACTTAGCGGTGGAGCGACGGTAAAGAAGACTCAAGTAAAACTAACATCACATCAACAAACAAATGTTAACGAATCCGGGGCCCCATCGGGGACGAACGTGTTGGTGATCACCCATAAGGACGTGATTTATGCTGATATCGCTGAATCTCCTGTCTAGACGATATAACAAGAAACAATAGACTCCGAGAAATGTAATGACAACGTTTTGTGAAAATCAACCATCGACTAACTTACATACAAATAGTCAAAGAATGTTTTTAGGTGAACAAATCAAAAACAGAACTACTGAGTACTGGTGTTAGTAAAGAGCCCTTTATATCTTTTTTCTCTATTTGTTCTCATTTTAGTGAGACAGCTTGGTTTTTTTTCCTGTACGTCATTTCATGTCATTGGTTCTACTTATTAGAATCTGCTTTTGTCTTGACATGTCACTGTACTACATTTTAATATTACCTACAATAAATTGTACGGTTTCTGCTGTTAATTTCAGTTTCTAGATAATATAAGTGTGGTTTAATTTTATAATTAAAGATATTTTAATTTTGTCTTTGCCTTATAATGAGTTATAGTCTTGTTCACATTTACAGTTTACACATTTGCTCACATCACTCACAGTCAGCTGCTCTGACATGGTTAATCACCTTCATTGTATACAAAATAACGAGTAATACATCAGATGAACTAGAGTTCTGCAAAATATGAATTATAATTAAGCACGGTACAATGTATTTATGGAAAAATAGTCATTTATACTCTATAGTGACAGAGACTACTTATTTAAATTTTTAACTTTCGCTTAAAGTGTTTATTTTCATAAAACATTTTTACATTCCAAATAAATGATGTTTAATAAAAAATGTCTTAAAAATGATTAAAAAAGGTTTATTATACGGAAAAATGTTATAAAAAAACTTCTTACTCACACGACTCTAAAAACTAAAAATTACGTGAAAGATGACCCCTCCATCAAGGTTGCTGCGTCCGGCTCCAGGATTGCGATCTCCACCGCGACTTCAGGTCTTTCACAAACACTTTTGAGACGTCCGACATTAGCTGCAGCTGCTTCTGGGTCCTCTTCATTTCCGGGTGGATAGTACTGGCAGAGCAAGATAAAATAAATCCCGGCCTCTCTGTACTTGCAATCCACCTCTTTGGTACTCCTCCAAACAATGTTTGTGAAGTCATGAATATCATGATCAGGGATTTCTGAAGAACTAGAAATGGATTTTGCGCTGGTGGTGTAGTCCCAGTGAATCCATTTTGGATACCAAAACAATGGAGGTGCCATTTCGTAAGTTTCAGTTTGGGATTGAAGTTTCTCAAAGTTTGAATAACATAGCTCTCCCCGATGTCTACGTCAAATGTAAATGTTCCTGTTGGGTTCCACCCGGTAACCCTTTCTTGAGTGCTGAAGGTAAAATCATCCCCCGGGTTCGATAAACCGAAACAAAGTGGTTCGGTATCTACGTGCCGTGCCCGCAGTTCGTTGTGCTTGTCTAAAATTAATTGCTCTAAAGCCGTGGGGGGATCCTTGCAGAATCCTTCAGCTGGGCATATCAGCGTACAGAAGAGAATTGCTATTGTCACAACCTTGGCAGTCATTTCGCTGAAAAGTTGGTTTGGTTATGTAAAGTGGACCGTGTTTATAAACAAGGACTGTAGAATGACAAAATTACTAAAAGTAAACAAACCTTTAACAAGCTATGTAAGTTAACCTCTGACTATAAAATGAAAACAATATTTCCTCTGCATGTAACAAACACTGTGCATAGAGTCAGCCCTGAAAATTTCGGCGCCCAACGAACGCTGTTCAGAATTTTGAATGATGCAATAGATTAAAATAATATTAATCCTAATTCTAATTCTAGTAAAATTCCAAAACAGATTTTATCCAAAACTGGGGTTTCTATCCTCGTATTGAAGGCGTGCCCTCTGTTTCCAGTACGTGTTTGTTTATTGCACGTGACGATTATTAACTGTACGTGACGTGTGTTTTTACTGTACGTGACGTGTGTTTTTACTGCACGTGTCGTGTGTTTACTATACGTAACGATTGTTTACTGTACGTGACGTGTGTTTACTATACGTGAAGCGGACGATCGTTTACTGTACGTGTCGTGTGTTTACTATACGTGACGATCGTTTAATGCACGTGACGTGTGTTTTTACTGTACGTGACGGCTCTTACTAATTCGCTCGCCCAAAAATTTCTCGTGACTTTGGTTTTTATGGTTTTGCAGCCGTACAAAACGGTTTTACATAATTACCCTAATCCCAACCCTAACCCTAACCATAACCCCGAAGCTAACCATAACCTTTACCACAACCATAACCCTAACCTGAGCCCTAAACAATAGAATTCGTGGTTTACTAGCCTGTCACGTGACCAAAACGGTTTTTTGCCCATAACTCTCCGTGGAAGCATTTTTACCCTACGTCATGTGGGGTGATTCGGAATCAGCGTCCAAAAATACACCGATTTAGATCAATTTCACACCCAAATGGCCTTTTCACAAGAATTTTCTTAAAATTTGGGCGAGCGATTTAGTAGGAGCGGTACGTGACGTGTGTTTACTGTACGTGACGTGTGTTTACTGTACGTGACGTGTGTTTACAATTACTGTACGTGACGATTGTTTACTGTGCGTGACGTGTGTTTTTAGTTTTTACTGTACGTGTGATGTGTGTTTTTACTGTACCTTGTCACAAGCATTAAGCAGGTCATCTAACCGGCGCAGCCTATCATTCTACGAACACATATTTCAATTTGTGATTTGAAACGTTCAAAATGTAACCCCTAGTCCTACCATAGCAACCATGACTGTAATATAAGTCTTATATTATTCCTAATCTTTATACTAAGAAGGCCTATTTCTCTGATAATGTTAGTAAAAATAAAGTTCATTTTTCTAAAGATACACTTTTGGAATGTCTTAATTATTTGATTGATAATTCTTATGTTACTTATCAGGGTCAAATTTATAGACAAGTTATTGGAATACCAATGGGTACCAATGCAGCACCACAAATAGCTAATGTTTATTTACATGTTTACGAATATAAATATATTAAACTTTTGATAGAACAAGGGGATACAGAAAATCTAAAAAGATTAAAAGACACATTTCGTTATCAAGATGATTTGATAGTTTTTAATGATTTCAATTTATTACAGAATGTATTAGAAGATATTTATCCTAAGGAAATGATAGTAAATAATACTAATATTTCGGCTCGTAAATGTTGCTATCTAGACTTAAACATTAGTATTTATCAAGGAAAGTTTAGAGTGACGTTATATGATAAAAGAAAAGATTATAATTTCAAAGTTATATCTTATCCTTTTTTGGATGGAAACGTTCCAAATAATTTGTCTTATGGAATATTTATTTCTCAATTAGTACGATTAGCCAGAATTAATTCGACACTTAAGGGTTTCAAAAATTGTGTTACCGAACTTTTAGGTAAATTGGTTGCGCAAGGATTTAAGTTAGCTGCTTTGCGCAACAAGTTTGTCAAGTTTTATAAATCAAGGTTAAATATTTGGGGTAAATATGGTAGTGATATTTATGATGAATTTATTGAAATGTTTCAATCACCTAATATTATTTTGTAATTTGTATCGACATATATCGTTTTTCAGTTATATAAGTTACCTAATATCTATTAATTATTCTAGTATTTGTGATTAATTTGTATTGATTTATTATTTGTGACTTATAAATTAGTAACCATTATTTTACCGTCTAAAAAAATTTTTTTGTCAAAAATTAATTTTATGAAGGAGTAAGTTGACAAAAGATGCGCATTCGTATATTCATTTATTGCATGTTTAATTTGTGTTTTGTGTTTAATTTACGATTATTTGCATTTGAGATTCTGCGATTAAATTTATTTTGTTGATTGTAATGAGAAAATACTACAATATAATCAAGGTACGATGTTGGATACCTGAGTTCTATATCTTTCGATAGCAACTCCATCTATGTATCTGCTTAGCTTCCATCACTGATCCTGGTACTTGAGATTCCAGGTGTGGCTTTAAACAATGTTTTAAGGGCCCAACACTCAGCTCACTCAGTTGATGGTAGAACAGTGGGTCTTTGTGCGATGTTGTAGCAGGGACTCCACTTCTTGTTTTCTCTTGCTAACCAGATTGCATAGGAACATCTGAGAGCAACCAAAGCCGCCTCTTGGAACACTGCTTTCTTTACTCTCTTTGTAACACCAAAGTAGTTTAGTAGGGCTGGTAAGGTATGATGCCAGAAGCCTCTACACCCAACCTCTACCGTAAAAAGCTGAGCTTTCCACCCACTGCCATGCAGCCCAGGAATAAGCTCTCTGTTGTAACGTGCTTGTTTACGTTCTACTTGGTCACTAAAGTTACTCTCGTCACCAACTGTCAACTCTACTAATATGACCACCTTTCCTTTATCAGACCAGACTACAATATCGGGACGTTCTGCAGTTCCGTAGATGTGCTGGGGGAACTGTGCTGGGAGGTCATCTTCGTCCCAGATAATCTGCCAATCTTGGTCTTTCTCAAAAGGACTCTCTCTTTTCATCTTCGTCTTCGGTTTTTGGTAACAGCTGCTAGATGACTTGAAGCCTGTCCAGTCCTGAACTTCAAGTTTAAAATCTTTGTTGTTGAACTTCTCGATTTGATCCAGTAGGGATTTCGCAATGACCCGCAGCACGTTGTCATGCCTCCAATTGTATCGTTTGTTGTTCAGCGAGAAGTTGCAAGCTACCAAAATGTGCTTAATGTTGCAGTGTCTCCATCCGCAAAGTGGACAGTGTCCTGTGTCAGCATAGTTCCACAGGCTCATGTTTGCTGGAGTATTTGCAACGTCATGGGTTGCATTGAGGTGGAACTTAAGAAGAGCAGGGCTCATCTTGTAGTTGTAAATAAGGTTGTTCCAACCTAGGTCTAGCTGCATGGTGTTTTCCCATGTTAAGAATTGTCCTTGAACTCCCTTGTCTACCAGTGTCAACAGGATATCCTGCTCTGAGATGTGGGATACCAGTTCTTTCAGTTTTTCCTTTTCACTGGCTACACTCCTCTTGGATCCCAAGCCCATCCTGCCTTGCACTGTTACCCCTACTAACTCTCTGAAGTAGAGATCTCTTTCTCTAGCACTCAGCTCATTAGTGTAATGTTGATATTGCATAATTTATTGTAAATGTAATATATGTTTCAGAAAATTATGTAATGTAACGTGATGGAGGTTCTTTAAGCGGGAAATTCCAGTCCAAACCCTGGAAACATGACATAAATGATAAAGGATTTGTTTTACTTGTTGCATGAAAAGCACTAATATATATAATATGTACAGCAGGGTGTCAGAATTATTGGCGTGTTTGAAATTTTATGTGTATTTTATGATGAAATCAATATTTTTCGACGGGTCATAACTTTACTTCTGAATATTGAAATTACAAAATTCAAAAACTGGTCTGTAGACAATCGTCTGAAATTTTTCAGAATTTCAAAATTTTGTGTTGATATACCTCAAAACCCATAATTGAGGCCGTTATTTAAAGGGTCGATTCCATACTTGGTTAGATTTACGAAGGAGTAAGGAATTTATGTGTATTTTTTTTTTGGTGAATTTTTTCTAAAATTATTCTTTAGACTAAAGTGCACAGCTCTTCAGGCGATAGCGAAACATATCGAAAACTATAGATTTTATAAAAGCTCTCTTTCTCCTCTAACTGACCCAATAAAATATAGTCGGGCGGACTCATCCCGGAATTCAGGGGAAGCAGCCGAAGGCTTCAAGTCCGATAATCCAAATTTTTCTCTTTCGTCGTGATTATCAACGAAATTTAACTTCTTTCGGACTTCGTTTTTAGACTGAACTGTAGTATAAAGGATTATCTCTCGAATGATCAAAACTCCATAGGAAACTGACCCTCAGAAGTCAAGTAATGATCGTTTCTAAAAGCTTGGGTAAGCTAAAATTTCACGCAGAATTGTCTACGCGCCAATAATTATGACACCCTGCTGTATATATGTAGGAGAAAACACAACGCACGAAACATACAGAGATCAGCTATGAAGGGTGATTCAGAAAATAAAAGGGAAACAGTGGAAAATGTTTGATGGTTGAGAAAGTTGTGCAACTTGTACGAGGGTCTGTGGCTTAATACCAGGACGTGACACGTTACGTAACGCGTCACGCGTATCGCATCCATGAGTATAATTATAAATAAGACGGGTTTGTTGTTCCTTATTACTTTTACCCTAGCACTAAGTCTAAAGCTAAATTACTGGGCCCGCGCGCCCAGCCTGTCATTCCGCCGAATCTCTATGTTAATGAACATGATAGCCTGAGGTCCCCAGGTAAAAGCTAAATTGAGTTATCGACGATAATATGCACTCCTCGTCAATACTGAAGTATATTCGTCACAACTTGATTTTTACATTTTTAGATTAAAACTCCGAAATTAATTGAATTTGCATTTTTTTTCTTCCTATGTCAATTTTTACAGTTACGATCTTTTCTGACCATCAGGAAATAATTTTCAATTCTTAATGTCATAATACAGCGTTACAGGTTAAATTTCAAGTTACAGGTTAAATTTCAAGTGGTCCTTAGGTGCAAAAAAAGATGTTGCAGGATTAGCGAAACACAATTGTTGGCCAACAATTTCAAAATTTGTATTTTACCAATTATAAAAAAATAGTGAAATGAAAAATTTTAATAATTTTCATTTTCCTGTAAGTGTAATTTCTTGAGTTTGACCAATATAAACCTAAAAAGAAACTGAAAAGAAATAACACACATAATGCATAAATTGTTCGAGTGTTTTTGTGGTGTACCCGCGACGAAATTATTTGCCCTTGATAATGAGCTTAATATATAACGGGTGATACTCGTAAAATATTTGGACCGTCGACGAGTCCAACTTGGCGCGCGTCCTGGTAGATTGTAAACCTACAATGATGAGCCATCTCGGTTCTTTGAGTTTTGTTTTTAAACATGTATTCTGTTTTTTGATTTATAGCGGTTCAGAGGAAACTCCGGTCATGATCATTTTTCAACGGATTCTGGGTATAGGGTCCCGGTTAGCATCAGGCACGAGGTTACCACTTACCAGCCTTCGAGCTATTTTTACATTACGTGTTCGCATTTCCTTTTTCCTGGTATTTCCTGGAATGTGGAAATTTATTCTCAATTTCGATCAAAGTTGTAGATGATTCATTAGTTAACATGTTTTTTGCAGCTGTTGCAGAGTCATAATTTGATCTGGATCTGCATTGCAGATACAAATCAAATTATGACTTTGCAAAATTCAGCTGCAAAAAACATGTACGTTACGTATTTTCAAGCCAAATGATCTATAAGGTGGAATTTGTGAAAACGATTTTATGGTTAATGTCAGTCTGCGACCCAAGACATTTATACTGGACCTCCAGGAATCATTATTTCAATAAAGCACCGCTATCATCTAATTTGATAATTGGAGAAGCAAGAAATAGACAAACAAACTCGGTCTTAACCTCAATGATTAGTTTGTGCAAGGGCCGTCAATAATAATAATAGAGTGGAAAATGAACATATATTCAACAATAAAAATGCAAATTCGATAAATCTTGGAATTTTTATCTAAAAATAAAGTTGCGACGAATTACTCATTATAATTGTTAGGCTGCAGGCTTGGCTACCCTGTACTCATAGAATAATCCATAACCTTCTAGAATATTCTGAAATATTTATTTTACTTTTAGTTCAGGAACGGTCATAAAAATGAGTTTGTAACAAGGTCGATTATATTTTTTTAAATTTCCAGCTTTCTCTCAGAAAATGAATCTGGCTTTCTATGGGAGGTAATTAGAATTACACTTACATTCACATTCTCAGATTTAAATAAAAAGCATGCGAGATCACCTGGTCCAATGAGCGGGAAACGGAGAACATGAAGCTCTGGTGACGTTATAATCACGTGACCTCAGGCTCATCATCACTTGACCTCCGACCCGATCAACTGGGTTCTTGCCTGGTCAGCTCCCTGTTGCCTGATCTTAATTGAGGTGACGTACGACACCTCGTTAATTCAATAAATGTCTGGAAGGCTGCAAATTTTCACATGCCCTTGCACAACTAAGGAGTTGTGCAAGATGACGATACGCATAGAGGCCGCAGAATTATGAGGACTACCAGATCCTCGTGGAACTTAAGCGATCTATGATATCACGACAGGCCATACTATAATACAAGTACTACTGGCAGCTGCTGATTTTAGATTTCAGATTTCAGATTTCAGATTTCAGATTTCAGATTTCAGATTTCAGATTTCAGATTTCAGATTTCAGATTTCAGATTTCAGATTTCAGATTTCAGATTTCAGATTTCAGATTTCAGATTTCAGATTTCAGATTTCAGATTTCAGATTTCAGATTTCAGATTTAAGCACACGTGTAGCATTTAGAAGTTAATTGGAAGTAAAAATTATATTCTTATAGCTGCCATATCAAAGTTAAACTTATAATATCTGTGCATGATCTATGCTCCTCTCTCATATGAGACCGACTGGCGTGCGAATAGAATTTTTATTGATAACAGTAAATTATTTGCAAATAAACTTAGCTGACCCAGAATTCTCCCGCGGCACTAAATTAGATTTATCAGAAGCATAAAGTCTCCGGTAAAATTTGTTGCGTTTATGTGTTAAGATTTTGGATTTGATTAATATGAATAATATAAGTTCTTTACGATTATCACAATGCTGGCAAGCATTACCGTCGCCCTTATATTCACAACACTATCTACCCCCTATACGATTATATCCCCTTTATTGTTTTCCAGGCATTAAGACTCATCGAAAGTAGTTCAGCAGGTACATTTAAGTTCAAAACATTCTAATTCAATGTTGAAGATGACAGGAATAAGAAATAGTTGTATGGAGGTTTTTAAGAAATTTGCGCAAAATACGCGCCAGCATGTTATACGAAATTAGGTAAAAAACCCAAAATCGCCATATTCAGGTGCCTTAAAAACCATGTTAAAATTGAGTTAGAGATCTGAAACTTTGCAGGGCGTCTAGACCTTGTCCAAATCGACTGTAAAAAAAATGTCATGTTTCAGGAGTATCGGGAAGTGGGTTTTCTGGAACCCCTGTTTTACAACAGATTGTCGTGAAGATATATATGTATGTATAGACGCTTTTTGCAGTCAATTGTAGCCTACATTTAAGTGTCCGTAGATTCAAAAGTATAAACGATACAGTCATTTCGAACCACAGGTTTTAAAGATAATTGTTTAAGCTTTAGTTTACATTGTATTGAAAAATAATTTAACGTCATCATCATCACTTGATGACGTCATCAAGTTAAGTGTTTTTAAAACTTGACTTTTGACAAAGTAACAACTTTTTAAATCGATTTTACACTATTAAGGAGTAATTTTATTCAAAATCTGAGGACATTTTCATCTTAGATAATTGTTCAAGCATTCCGAAAATCTACCGGAAAAGTTTCCTACCTTGCTCCTTCATAAAGATATTTGCTATTGAAGTTAGTGCTTTTTTGAAGAATAATTTTATAAAAACACAAAAGTTGTGAATTAGTATTCTCTGGTGTTGGGCCATCCCTTGGGTTGTGGAGCTCAATTTTGCTTCTTAAAGGTGTAAATTGTGTTATAGGCTAGTTTTAAAGTTAAAAATCGAAAAGTTGCACACGTGGGGACACGCCCAAATTCATTTAAAATCGCTAAAATCGCTAAAAATTTTGATTTTCACGATTTTTATCAACTTTGGAGTCCCGCTGTGATCCAAGTTCTTTTTGAAATCTTCTGAAACTTTGCATGCTTATCAAACTATATATTAAATACCACTATGCAAAAATTTACGGTGATTCAATATTGTATGCGCACGCGACGTCCGCTCAAAGTTTGCACGTGCGAAAGGTGAGAAATTTGCTCATTCGTGATTTCGAATATATTCTGCTTTCCACGATATTTAAATGGCATTATATATGAATTTAATGCCAACTTGAATGAGTAAAAAGTGCCATATTCAGTCGGTTATCGACAGAAATACCTAACTAAACACAAGGAAACGTTTTCAAAGGCAGAATTTCGAAATCGTCGAAATTACCTCCTTGTTAATGAAGTTTCGACTAGCTGTGTAAATTATCCTGACATTATAATCAAAAAGAGATGATATTTGACCAAAACCCATAATCATGGGTAGAGTGTACCGCTGCCAGTGTCTCTCTTTTCCAAACAAAAGGAAATGATATTAATTTGAGGAACAGTCCGCTAATGCAAATTGATACCGAGAATGAAATCGGTCGCTCGCTTTTTCCATTCGATCACGGCTTACGAATTGTAATAAAGCTTATTGATTTGAAAAAGCGAGCGACTGATTTCATTCTCGGTATCAATTTGCATTAGCGGACTGTTCCTCAAATTAATATCATTTCCTTTTGTTTGGAAAAGAGAGACACTGGCAGCGGTACACTCTACCCATGATTATGGGTTTTGGTCAAATCTATAATGTAATTTGATAACCAGTATTGTAAACCAGTATTTTAATGTAAAACTGCTATTTTTTATTTGCAATGATGCAAGTGCGAAGAACACTGCCATCTCCACGGAACTACCGGCACTATCCGTCGCGGAGTCGAGTCCGCGGCGGAGCCGCCGGACTCCGAGCGGACTCCGGCGGTGCTCCGCCAAAATGTATTTACAGTGGACTCGAGTACATTTTGGCGGACTCCGAGTGGAGCCGAGCGGACTCCGAGCGGACTTTAAAGTCCGCCGCGGACTCCGAGCGGCTCCGCGGCGGCTCGGCGGAGTGTCTGCCGCGGACTAAGCCACTAGGCGGACTCCGGTCCGCCGCGGACTCCGGCGGAGTGCTTGGCGGACTCCGCCGGACCTCTCCGCCAGACTTGAATCCGGCGGAGTCCGGCGGAGCTTGGCGGAGTCCGCCAGCTCGGCGGACTCCGCTCGGAGTCCGCCGGACTCCAACAGAGTCCACTGATTTCCGACCTCCGTCTTCCGACCCTCGGCTAAATTTGTCACGTGACATACAACATAGCATTTTGCAATATTGTGGTCAGATGAAAAGGTCGCTAGTGATAAACCTTAACCATTACCCTCACAATGTCAATAGTGTACAACTCTAGTCCTAACTTTGACCCTATAATGTATAAACGTTGACCCTAACCCTCCACCAAACCGTCCGCAGCGAAATATCAATGTCATTGACTGGTCACGTGACCAAAACAATTTTTGTCATATTATCTCATATAGGGAAGCGTTTTTAGCAAGCAAAAATACGTCGACCATCACAGGACGACGCCAGCCAGCACTCTCTACGCTCTTCGAGCTCTGATCGTCCTGTGACGAAGTAAGGACGAAGCCTGAGGTCCTCAGGTAACATCGACCACCGATTGAAAATTCAAAGATTTTTTGACATAAAGGTCAAATGTAAAACTAAAATCTTAATGTTGATTGATTGACGACGTCAATTTTTGAGCACAGCGCGAGCGCATGCGGAAAAGGACCGCGTAGCTAGTCAAGATGTTGATAAATATTTGGCTTGTGGCGCGATGTGTTGCTCTAACTATAGCCCTCTCGCTTGCAGTAGCACGCGACCGCCGGGGGCGGAAATGACCTGGTTAGCTAGGTAAACGCGATGTGCCTTGTAGGATGAAATCCTACTAGCTGACGCCATTCGCAGCTGTGCTGCTCGCTGTACGTCAGCGATCGAAATTTATACGCGTATCCCCCGTTAAGATGTGCCACTCGACGCGCCACACAATTTTTCTCGTTGCTCGTCGCACGTCGACGAACAACGAAGCTCGTTGCGACGCGCCGCGCAATGAGCTGCCAGGCTAGGACATCGTCCTGGTCCAACAAATTTTTGCGAGCGATTTTCTCCACAAATTTAATGAGGGCTAGCTTAGCGTTGTAGGATTGTATACTTTAATTTCGGATCGAGTGAAGCGAGTGATACACATTACTTTGATTAAACTCATGCTGATCACAATACAGTACAGGGAAGTGGGTAACACGGCTTGCAGTCGCAGCTGCGGCTCCTCGCTGGCGGTAATATTTCAATGAACAAGAATTAAGAAAAAGAGAATTTAAGAAAAAGAGAATTTTATTTGCCACAGAATAATCAATACATGTAATATACTTCAAAAAAAACTTCAAAATATATTGTTAGTTCATCTATCGTTCATAAGATGGGGTACTCTCAATAATCAAGTACATGAGTACCCGACCCGCCGCGCCACGCAAGCACCACACTGCAATTGAAATTGGAGATATAATGTATAAGCATAATGGGCGCGGGGGCGCCGCGCACGTGGATCGAGCCGGCCCACGTACCCAAATTGCAAATGCAAATGTACATGTCACAATGTCACACTCACAGTCACATTTATTAATTTCTACACAATTTATTCATTATACTTATTTGCCCACGAGTGCTGGTATCAGTTTGTGTCTTAAGACTAGCTACGCGGTCCTTTTCCGCATGCGCTCGCGCTGTGCCCAAAAATTGACGTCGTCAATCAATCAGCATCAAGATTTTAGTTTTACATTTGACCTTTATGTCAAAAAATCTTTGAATTTTCAATCGGTGGTCGATGTTACCTGAGGACCTCAGGCTTCGTCCTTACTTCGTCACAGGACGATCGGAGCTCGAAGAGCGTAGAGAGTGCTGGCTGGCGTCGTCCTGTGATGGTCGACGTATTTTTGCTTGCTGGGATCCGGCCGAATGACGCCACATGCAACGTGTAGGGTAAAACTAAAAACGCTTCCCCATATGAGATAATATGACAAAAATTGTTTTGGTCACGTGACCAGTCAATGACATTGATATTTCGCTGCGGACGGTTTGGTGGAGGGTTAGGGTCAACGTTTATACATTATAGGGTCAAAGTTAGGACTAGAGTTGTACACTATTGACATTGTGAGGGTAATGGTTAAGGTTTATCACTAGCGACCTTTTCATCTGACCACAATATTGCAAAATGCTATGTTGTATGTCACGTGACAAATTTAGCCGAGGGTCGGAAGACGTTGTCATACGTTGTATGACCCGCCGTGCACGCGCGGCTCCCCCTGTATCGTCAGAACGATCGTATCGTCACTACGTTTCACATAGTGAAACGACCGTGGGGGTCGAAACGTGATACAAGGAAGACGGAGGTCGGAAGTCAGTGGACTCTGTTGGAGTCCGGCGGACTCCGAGCGGAGTCCGCCGAGCTGGCGGAGTCCGCCAAGCTCCGCCGGACTCCGCCGGATTCAAGTCTGGCGGAGAGGTCCGGCGGAGTCCGCCAAGCACTCCGCCGGAGTCCGCGGCGGACCGGAGTCCGCCTAGTGGCTTAGTCCGCGGCGGACACTCCGCCGAGCCGCCGCGGAGCCGCTCGGAGTCCGCGGCGGACTTTAAAGTCCGCTCGGAGTCCGCCAAAATGTACTCGAGTCCACTGTAAATACATTTTGGCGGAGCACCGCCGGAGTCCGCTCGGAGTCCGGCGGCTCCGCCGGAGTCCGCTCGGAGTCCGCTCGGAGTCCGCTCGGAGTCCGGCGGCTCCGCCGCGGACTCGACTCCGCGACGGATAGTGCCGAACTACCGCTGTAAAGACTCACTACAAAAGGCGAGGGCATCATCTACTCGGGGCCTTTTTCCAGTCATCGGCCCGGGGTTGTGCTCTGCCGTTTACGTTTATCATAGTATTAGTACTAGCAGAAACATGTCTTTTCAGATTTTTTAAAATTTCGTTTAAATTGTATATAAAAATCGAATGTTATTATTCTAAAGCAATACCTTTACGCGATCATAATTATAGCTCCAAGTTCATGATTGACAAAGGAAGGAATAGAAGCTCAACAAACATTCTGTCAGAAATTATTCGAAAAACGTTTTTTAATGTTATTTTGTAAATGCTTCGTTGTCGATGACAGAGTCCGTGGCTGCTTTATTCAAGTTCTGTAATCTTCTTGACTGAACCTGAGAATATAGAATGCTAAATGACCCCTTTGATTGATTGATAGGTGTATCAAATTGTATATAATTGGTATATTTAATATTTAACAATTAGATACCCTAATTATGATAAGTCACTATAATTTTTGAGTGATCCAATTATTATAAATGTAATATTCCAGGATTGCTGTTGTGTGTTGGTTGACAGTCTCACCGACTAGTCATCATAATAAAAGTATAATTCTATGCATTATCACTATGTAAAAAAATTTCCTTCATGATTTTTCAATACAGTAAAACCCCTTCTTACCTCGCCCGATTTACCGCAGCTTTTTCCTTTCTCCCAAACTTATAATTTATTTTGTTATCGCCAAAAATAACTAATAATAATCAAAAAGGTTTATAAAGTATGATCACAACAAATGGATTTTGATTCTTGAACAAACCTCTTCTGCGGAGGTGGGGGTTGGAATTCCTTTTGTATCTGGAAGCCTAAAAGTGGCCAACCCTGCTAAGCCAGACAAGATCGCAAAAATTATGAATGTCCCTGGCCTGAAAAAAACTTAAATAACCATTCGTGTGGCAAAATGCTTTTTGTCTGAGAATGAATCATTCAAAATTCCACTGATTTAAATGTGTATTAAATGAACTTACTTGCTCCAGGCGAACATCAGGTTCGCATATGGTCCACAGAAAGCACCTGAAAATGTGAAATATTTGCTACTTTATTCAAAAGAGTTTTGAAGTATCCTCGAAAATCGTTGACAATGAAATTTTCAATGTTAAAATGTTTAATAAACATACCAATACGGGCAGCACACGAGCAATAGCTGCATATCCTTCCTCGGTGAGAGATGGGTGCTAGTTCTGCAGTGTAAAGATAAACAAAACCAAAGACTGCTGAGACGAACATGCTCCCAATGAGACAGCTCAGTTGCTCCACCGTGAAGGAACCACTGATCTTGCTAGGTATCATTGCAAACAGGAAGGAAGCACTGCCTGAATTTGAGGATTAGTCATCTATCATTGTTAAGGTTCCTGGTGGATGAAAATAGATGATAGGCAAAATGAAAGCAACTCGATATTTTCAATGGCTTGTGTCTTACCAACAAGGAACATCATAATGTGGGAAGGTTTCCTCCCCCAATACTCCAGCGGGAACGTTAAAACAGTGTACGCTATAAATTCTCCAATGGCTGCGTAGAGATAGCTGATGTAGATGTTGCTACCGAGAGAGGCCCAACTAAAACTGAATCCGTAGTAGATAAAAGCAGACACCATCCACAACCACATCTGTACCATTAGTTGCACCAACATCTCTCTAAAGAGGATTAATAATGGTTAATCTTATTTTATTCTCCGTTGAACTATCGCCCAGTGAATTGAATAAAAGTTATTTCTAGCATCCATTTCCTTCCAGATTTGGGCATATTATTATTTGGCTTGCACATATCAAGGAATAATTTGAAGATTTGAGCTCCAGCAAGTCTATCAAAAGACTGCTGGGTTAAAACATCTCCCCCTTTTGATTATGGAATTCCTAACTATAATAACTATGTACTAAAGCTGTACAGTTGCCATTGAGATCGAAGCTGATAGATGATATTAAATCTTACTTGTATCTCCAGAAATCTTTCATTGTGCTGATAAATGACGGTTCCTCAGTTTTCTCATCGCTGTCCTCTAAAGTCAAACTATCTACATCAAGACTGCTATTGTTCAGCTTTACCAGCCATTTCAGACTCGCCTTGGATCCTTCTACATCTCCTGGGGATCTCTCGGTAAATATGGGCTCTTATTGAATCACTCGCAGAAAAAGTTTCACGTGAATTAATTTATCCTAATTTGGGAAAGCTTACTGTAATTTTTACACCAACATGTGAAAAATCCCTAACTATCAAAGTAATTTATATACCCTCGCAGGACATAAATTTTTTAAGATGTGAGCGAGATGTATATCACTTTTATAATTTTATGTTATCAACATCCAGAAGACATATCGTGATCAAAAAATTGACCATCCATTTGTAATTACCCACTTTTAGTGGTAAGAAGGAATCCAGGAGATTCTGGTGTCAAAAGAAGAGGTATCAGATTGAAGGCCAAGTAGAAAAACCCAGGGGTAGCTGCTAACCAGTGCCAACTGTGATTATTATCTCTGTTATTGCTGTTCCGTTACTTTATTCCAGAAAAAAATCACTGACCTCAAAGTTTATCTTAACCTTTTAAAAAAACCCGTTACATTTATCAAGTATTATAACCTACAGAGTTCTCTTTAAAACCTGTATATCAGATACCCAGTCATGGTAACAACAAGATACCCTACTGCCCAAAATACGAGAGTGACAGTGTTAACAATTGCCCGGTACTCGGATGCCGTATACTCCAGTAATAGCACATACATGCCCATGAAGCCTAGGTAGACTCCAAAACCTGCAAAGATTTGAAAATAGGTAAATAGATACAAAGATAATGTCATGTGATCATTGACGGAAAAGTGAGTCAATAAATCCCAGACAAAATAAAAAGCAGTCGACTCAAATACATGAGTAGCTTAACGAAACTATTTACCTTGAAGAAATCTGCACACGAATAAAAACTCTATTGAAGGTGAAGCAGCGTTGGCAAAACAGGCTATTGTCACTACAGCGTAGCCGACCAAAGCGCCTTTTTTCCTTCCTATCACATCATACAACCACCTGATAAGATCTTACCGAATATTGGAAAAAAATTTTAAAATCATTTCAGAGTAAAAATATAAATGTATGCTATATTGTCGACAATTAACATTTTACGAAAATGGGAGAACATACATAGTTACATAAAATAACAATATCAACTCTAGACTATGATCTACACAAGGAATTAGAAGGAAGTTATAAGTCAACCTTCCAATTGATTTCCTTTAAAGGCCGATATTAGAGCACTACGAACCCACCCGCCTGCTGATAGCCCAACCCAAGCTCCACCGAAGTAAACAGACTTAATGATAGATCCGAGGTACTCCCTATCACAATAGAGATCCCAGTCAATTGCAAATGAAGTCCGTCCTTTTGTGTCCCAGTTAAAGTCCTCACTGACATTTAACTGACCCTCGTATTTACTTTCTCCCGATCCACATAGGTCATCTCTGTTAAATTGTTCTTTATCTAATCGGAGGTTTTGTCAGTTAGTAATTTTGAATCTTAAAACCAATACAGTTGATTAAACACACATACAAAAGGCCAGAGTCGCATCGATAATTATTCAGGTTTCATAATCGTTTCATCAACATCGCCAAAAACTGGTTACCTAACCTGAAAATACCGGTTACTTATAAAAGCCGGTCACCTGGACAGTGGAGATTGTAGCTCCCAATTCTGTTAAGTTTGATGTATTTAACTCGATCAATCACAGTGAGCACGCCTTCATCATCCGCCAAATTCAATTTCTCTTCGCTACTGGTAGATTCGCAAAGAAGAGTTGTTTCTTTTTGCGACCAAGTCGATCCAGCAAAGGTTATTTGGCAATTCAAGCCTTCCTTATCAGTCTCCATATCATAGGGAAATTCTTTTGTGCAAGAGCTTGCCTCATTCTTGCAAAATCTCATCGATCTTATCACAATTTTTTGGCCACTTGCATCAAAATCTAGGGTCCCAAGATGGGTTGTAGCGTTCTCCCATAGTTCCAAGGTCAGTAGGTCCGCAGTTAAGTCATCCTGTCTAAGTTTGATAGCGCATCTACTGTCAATAAAAACAAGTTCATCTGTAGGCCTTGTCACCCAGCCTGTCAATAATCATTGATCATCGTGAGTTTGGTGCAAATTCAAGAGACCGATCGCGAGCTTTGTTTTACTTTAATGGGAATAAGAAGTGGCAATCACTAAAATTTAGACTCACCTCGGTCAAGGAACTTGGTAGTTCTTTTATAGCAATTCTCACTCGTTGATATACATCTCCAATCTGTGTAGGGCACGTAACCTCCAAAATTTGGGAAATAAGCTACAACTGCACACGTCTGAGTTGGAATTAGTCAGTATTAAATATAGTGATAATGAAGATTATGTGAATAAATTTCATTAATCAGAGTTCGCAAGATACAGACAAAATGAATGTTTCTTACCATGTTGAAGGACCCCAAGCCCATCATCAAAGCGATGTACAGCAATGTTGGTTTAACTGCTACTTGGTTGACAACATCCTCGATGGAACTTTTTTGTTTTGAGATGGCATCTTCTGTTTTCGAGATCTCATGGTCGTTTTTGTTGATTTCTTCGTCGAGCTCCATACTTTCAATTGTTCGGGTAGTGATCACTGATCAGTAAGCTTGAAGTATTTTTAAAACAAAAAACAAAAAAACATGAACAAAAATAAAGTGGTAATTAACGTGGTAAAAGCGGTAAATTATCTCGCGAGTTCTCGGAAATAACGGGATCCTATTACAATTACGTAAACAGTTAAAAAATTAAAACATCTGCTAGCATCTTAAAAGGATAATAAAGGCCGTCAACTCGGCAATCTACCAACGGAAATCTGAACACCTTACCCTAACACTAACAAGAAAGTTTAACAATTTTCCTCCTTATATGGATTGGTCATATCACGTGATTGAGACAGTTTTTCGACGATATCACGCCAGGGGAGCATTTTACTCATGCCATGTGGGGTGATTCGGAATCAGCATTCGAAAATACATCGCTTGAAGTCGGTACCAACTGTCGGGGATCCTTCGAAGATCAATTGTAAAGTGATTTAGCACGCTCGTATGATAAAGGTACAATTAAACAAGGGAGAGTGAGTTTGAGATAGAAATACGGCTTTCATAATTCGTTTACTGTTACTGATGCGGAACAAGTAGGAACTTACTTATGATATTAATATTATAACAACCTTTCAGGATTGTGTAATTGAGATAAAAGAAAGGCACCCTGGTTGGTATAGGTCACCTCCAAATCATACATCCAGCAGCTGTGAAGATTAATAAAGTTAATTCACTGTTGAACAGAAACTGAGATCAAAGCTGAGAGTGACTCAGTGACGGCTTTTTGTGGGTTTGGAAGTTTATTGATAAAAGATGGGTAAAATACCCTAAAAATTACGTAAGCCTGAAATGGCAACACTCAACAGAACTAAAGCTGAAATAAAGCGGAACCCTCAAAGAAAGGTAGCCAGGCTGGTGTAGGTCACCCTCAAATCAAGGGTTTTTCTCGAAAATAAATCATTGTCTTCTAATTTACACAATTCCGATCAATTAGGACCATTCATCACGCAGTATCAGTTTAATTTCATCAGAAGGTTTCTGCATCGCACACTCTGGTGTTAATTAGTTTTAACTCTATTCGCCATATACGACATACGTCCAGATAAAAAGCCAAGCCCATATTTTAGCTTATTGCCCAATAAACCCCAGAATATTGAACGATATTTTTAGGAGAAGGACAAAAATGATCACAAAAAGATCCATTTAGCCATGCCCATACATGTTTCATTACATAACAGGTGGCAAAATAGTATTTCAGATTGTGAGTATAGGTACTCTAATTCACTTCGTTATAAATTGACTGTTTGCCAGATTTCCAAGGCAACGTTGTGCATTTACAGTCACATTTTATATCAAGATTGTCGGGGTTAGCCGGGTTACTGCCAACCACCCAAAAAGGGGCAGGCGATACGTTAAGACTGAACAGATATTAAAAGTCAAGACTCAACAGCCATTTTTCAAACTGAAGTAGGCCGGGTTAGGACGTTATAAGGAGTAGGACGAAATCAGCAGCAAGATTCCTTATCGCATTTTAAAAAAAGTTATGGTACTCTCAGTCGTATTATAGTGTTTCACATAAAATTGGCTTCTTCATTCGAAAAGATTATAATTTTGACTCAACTAAATTCATTTATCATCAAACAAAAAGATCAAACATTTTAACTTACAACATACAATATAAATGTTCATAAAAATAAACTTTATGTAGAAATTTGCAAAACGTTAAAGTATTAATTTCACCAATTGTTTCATAAAACCATAAAATGCGTCTGAACAATTTTGACTTATATGGATCTACCAAGCAATTCAACCACAAAAAACTTGGTTACAAAAAGTCAAATCTTTTAAGCTTTTAAGACACTTCACCCATAAAGCACTTGGCAAATTTAAATGGCAGCTTTATTCTCGATAACAGTTTCTGGTTTCTGAAATATATGACACACGTTGTTCGGCAAAAAAATATCCAAAAATTAAAACAAAATGTCAAACCTCCTCTGGGGTACTGAGTGTTGGAACACTTTTTGTTACAGGGAGCCTAAGAGTAAGACTAGAAAACCCTGCCAAACCAGCCAAGCAGTGCTGCAAGCCGCCGTTTATTTTCAAAACGGCAGCGGCGTGGTTAAAATCGTCGGCGGCGGCGTAATCGGCGTAAGGTCACGTGATTTCGCAGATTAAATTTTCCTCTAGAATAATGCCATGTGGAGAGCAATTTTTAACAGTTTTGAATTTTGACACGAGGCTCGTCATATCTGTGCGTTCATTTTCACAGAAGAAAATGGCTTATACCATATACTAAAATGTATTTGTTGCTCGAGGAAGAAGTTTCCAAACATTTATCCGTATATCGTCGAAAATTGCTAGGACAAAATGTAAAATTAACGGGCTGTGTCTTTAAATAGTCCTCCAACGACCTCAATTTTTTTAACAACGGATCAAGAAAGGCTGCCAGATAATGTAGTCCAGTACTAAACAGTCTGCTGTCCCATTGCAGCATAATTTTATATTTAAGATCTTTAATCATATCAGAGTCCCCAGTTTTTGGTGAAATAATGTCATATAGGTTCACGCCGTGTACGCCGTTTGAAAACGGCGGCGGCGGCGTGCAGCACTGGCATATGCGAACACTATATCTCGGCATTTTATACATTGGACATACATTTGGCTGATAAAAATATGTCACAAACAGAGACTCACGATATTGAAAGACATCAGGACGAATAGTAGAATCACAAAAAGGAAGCTTGGTTTAGGCTTAGCCGCCACGATGTTGACAACATTTTCGGTGGAGGTCTTGTCTTTTAGCTCTGTGATCTCTCATTTACACTTAACAGGTGGTTGAGGAATAAGTATCACTCAGTAACGGTGTTTTGGGACTGCGACCATAGTTCAGCAGTGGTTATCAAAAAAGCAAGCAAGGAAATGAAATTGGTAAGATATCAGAAAATGTAAATGGTTTATGAGAAGCTTAAAGTTAATATGTTAATATGACGCTTAATATGTTATTTGAGAAGCTACAGATAGTGGCCAGTGGGGATTGAGATCAGGTGAACCTCTCCAGTCTCTATACCGTTTCTTTTTTGTTTTTGGTTTTCGATTATGCTATTCACTCCAATAATCGTAACCGACAATTATCTCAGATAATTCGTTTAAAATAAATTATATTATTATCAAAATATATTTTTATCAGTATAAATAAATTTGTATCAGTATGAATCAATTTTTATCAAGAATACTGCTACAGGTCATACATCCGAATCCCGACGGCACTCTCGTGGCACTCTCGTGGCACTCTCGTGGACCTAGGGCTCGGTAAATTGATGGAATTACTTTAGAAGGAGCCGGACTAATTTCCTGATCAAATACAAATAGAAGTTCGCAAATATTATAATATGATTATGTTCAGTTATCTTTCGCACCAAATCACAATAATTTTTATCAAAAAACGACGGTTGATTGTTAGTATCTGGGAATTGAATTAAGAATGGTCACAGCTGAATGCCGCACAGGGGAAGTCACCAAGTCGCCAAACTTTAAACAATTCTGTAAACTAGGGTTTTCATGGTAGTGGTACTATTACTAGCTACGATCAACATATTTAGGGAATCTCATTCCAAATCACCCCCATGATATATAGGGGTAATATATAGGGTAAATATATGATGAAGTGTTATGTTGTGCTCACGTGACACGCTAGTCGAACGCTCATAAGATTGTTTAGGGTTAGGGTTGCGTTTGGGTACACTTCCATAAAAACCACAGACATGAAAGTTTTGAAAGAGGGACAACGTCAACAGTGTGTGCAATTTAATGAAGGACGCATTTATTATAAATGTTGTTTAGACTTCAGAATTGAATAATCGAATAAAATAAGTAAGACACAATCTATGAAGAAAACAATTTCTCTTGGGTAGAATTAATTTCATCAAAATGATATTTTTAAAGCGATAAAAAGTATCGCCTTTTTTCGAATAATATCGAATTAATATCACTGGAATAAATTGTTAACAACACATCGTAATCAAACTCGATCATATTCATACTTACTGAGTGTCACAAAAGTAAAAATCTTAATCCCAAGAATCATCATGGTTTGGATTTTTTCGAGAAAGAAACCGATTTATCAGTTCCTGGACTAATTTTCATTATAGATTTAACGCTATCTGTTTCAGATTTTTCATCTATTTCATCTGAATTACTAGATTGTTTTTTTTCGGATAGGGGTTTCTGAGCGGTTTCTGTTGACGGTTTATCAACTGAGGATTCCTCTTTCGTAGTCTTTTTAGCTGAAGCTTTTTTACTAGGTTCTTCCACGGTTGATTTTTTCCCAGTTTTCTGAGAAGAGATTTTCTCGGTAGTGTCTTTCTGATTCGTTTCTTTTTCAGATAAAGCTTTCTCTTTAACGATTTTTTCGGCTGATACTTTTTTACTCGCGGATTTCTCGGCAGACACTACTTTAGCAGTTGCCTCGTCTTTAGAAGCTTTTTCAGTCGCCACTTTTTCGGAAGGGGCACCTTTACTAGAAACTTTGCCACTGGTGACTTGTTCAGATGATGCTTGCTTGGTGATAGACTTTGCAGTCACATTTTTATCAATGGAAGCTTTCTTAGAAGAAGCCTCTGTGGTAGACGGTTTCTCCTTAGCAGCTATTTCTTTTGTCGAAATTAACTCAGTCGAAGTTTCATCCTCTGTTGAACTATCTCTCTCAGGCGATGGGATAGAAACAGTGTGCCTTGCTGGGGGCCTCGCCTTGACGGCTTTGATATCCGTTTGTTTTTCAGTTTCTTTGCTGTTTGTCTTTTTAGCCGGCGATGGAGTTCCTTTCACTTCAGACTTTTTAACCAGTGATGTCTCCTTTGCTTCAGACTTTTTAGTAGGTGATGTCTCCTTTGCTTCAGGTTTTTTAGCAGGCGGTGTCTCCTTTACTTCAGGCTTTCCAGCCGGAGGTGTCCCCTTTGCTTCAGGCTTTTTAGCCAGTGGTGTCTCCTTTGCTTCAGACTTCTTAGCCGATGGTGTCTCCTTTGCTTCAGGGGTTTTAGCTGGAACTGTTTCCTTTGCTTCAGGATTTTTAGCCGGTGGTATGTCCTTAACTTCAGGATTTTTAGCTGCTGGTGTGTCCTTTGCTTCAGGCTTTTTAGCCGGCGGCGTCTCTTTAACTTCAGGCTTTCCAGTCGGTGGCGATTCCTTTGCTTCAGGCTTTTTAGCTGGTGGTGTGTCCTTCGCTTCAGGCTTTTCAGCCGGCGGCGTCTCCTTAACATCAGGCTTTCCAGCCGGCGGCGATTCCTTTGCTTCAGGCTTTTTAGCTGGTTGTGTTTCATCATCATCGAGTTTTGGGCAACTGCAGTTTTCCAATTCTTTTTCAGTTTCATCTCGATTTAAAACATCAGCTTCAAAATCGCTGTCGTCTGAATCAGAATCAACAGGTTGACATTTTGGTTTTGAACCAGTCTCCTCTTTAACTTGAACACACTTCTGCTGGTCATCATTACTTCCAAAGAAGTCGTCTAGTTCCCCCGTTGTATGCTTTTCTTTGGTCTCCGACTGATCTATACCAGAGTCAGTGTCTCGCTCAACTGGTGTCCTTTGATCCTGCTGTCCGCCTGTCTCTAGCTCTCCTCTATCATCTAGACATATGGTGTCCTCATCTCTGTCCTCTTCGACGTGCTCTAACTCTACACAAACTATGTCTACACTGAGGCCCTGAATTACAGAATCTGTTGCCGGTACAAAAAGCTCTCCGTTGGTGCATCTCCTAAATTCCTGGGACAATGCTTGCTGGGATTGCAGTCTCATTCGTCCGATGGGACGACGTCTTTTCCTCCATGTCTTTGGCCTGAAATTTTTAATGTCATGTACTTTACAGTTATTCTATAAATGTACCATCTGATCATTAAAATCAACGACACACAAGAATTTATACAGAAATCAGAAGCGACTAATAAAATTTGAATCAAGCCAAGTGTTAAAACATAATCCTCTGCACGAACTCTAAAAATTATAAACCACAAAGTCAAATTATACTGACTGTTAAAAGTTTATAAAAATTGATAAAACTCAAAAGAATCAATGAACTTATCGTACGAATCATTAGAATGCGCCGAACTTGGACTTTCAACGAGCTGAAAATCTGTGTAGTTGTTCCTGGGGCAGTGTCGATCTTTAACTTTCGCCAAACGGTATTTCATCTCAAGACTAAAACATCTGCAGTGGAACGAATACGACCTCAGTACACGACAAAATGCTTATTTAATCTGCTAAGCATACGTCGCTACGCCTGCATGTTACAAAGTAAGCTTATTTATATACGTTAGCTCAAACAACAGCTAGTTTTATCTCTTCGTTGGCTCATCACTCAATCATCAATGCTTCTGCATGTTTGGCAATGTTACAAATAGTTTAATAGGCATCCTTTCATAACTTGTCCTTTCATCAAGGCTGCTAAGTCAAATTAACTCCAATTTATGAGGAAGCTAAAATTTGATGTTTTCCTTCCGAATATCTGAGTTAAAGAAATGTAACTTAAAGCTAACATGTATGTGTCATCACGACATCTTTATAATACTCAGCCAACGTCCCAGTGATATCTGGTGAAAACTAAACACACTTCGTTTGATTGTTTCAGGATCTGGCCTTACCTTTAATACTGATGTCGTCCCAATTACCCTTTCCAATGACAGCCAAGTGGTTTGATCCAGGTCTAACAAATGAGCTTATGAGAACGCGCGCACGCACAAATCATGTCACGTCGCGTCACGAGATAACGCAACCATATCACGTGATAATCACAGAATTTGCACCGCGCGCGCTCATACGTCCTGACTGTCTCAGAAATGAGACCGGCCACAATTTATATCGTGGCAACGTCGCATACTCGCATATCGTAATCACGTATTAGAACTGACTAGTACCTTTAGCCTGGTCATTAAGAGTTAGCCAGTTAGATATAAGACTATATATGTAATATGTCCAATAAGTGGTTCAACAGACAGTTGCTATGGATTAATGATTCATAGAGAGTCATTACTGGACATCTCCTATTCTTTGTCTGTATATGTAGATTGTAGTCCTCCAGTGCAATGTTGCTGCCTGACACATGTCACAACATGCAAAAGCAATATTTAAGAATTTGAACCAATGGTGTGGCAACCAACACTGCTACTACCACTTTGCGGGGGAAGGGCTGTATTTGCAGTTTGCTCAGCATTTAGCAATAGGGTTTGCTTATAGGGGCGGCAGAATGTGAAAACTTTAAAAGTTTAAAGCACAATGGCTTGAACGAGGTAGAATATATTATAGAAGATGTGTGAGATTCACCACTTAAATCTGCTTTATATATCCGATTGTGCTGCACAAACGTTTCTCTTTGATCGCCACATGGCTCTATTGACATTCGGGAAAAGGAGATCCTACTATAGGGTTTCATTGAATGGTATCAGAGGTAAACCGCCTGAAACCATTTGTGTTATTGATACCATTCATCCGACTGATATCTTTGTTATATTAGTTCCGCAAATGGTGATTGTTAATATGACTGGAAACCTTCTGGCCGATATATGTCGACCCTTTTACTTTTTTATTAGAGAGAAAAAGGAATTGATGCGTTTGTAATAGCAAGGGAAGCATTTTAACAGGATCGTGTTTCACATAATAATATATTTATCAGAATCGCTTGAAATGTACCCAATCGTAGAACAAACTCATATGCAGGAGAATAGCACGTTTGCTACTACAGTTCTTGAGTTCTGGTCCGAATTATCATATCAATTATCATACCTTATATATACTGACCCCTATTGTAGGTAAAAATTAGAGTTTCTGATCGTGGCTAGAGAACAATTTATCTATTAAGAATATTGTCCAGCCCATGTATTAAATCGAGTATATCTTTAAGAGGTATTATAAATAGGAATATGAATTTCATCTTACAAGTGGTATTAGTAAACTTCAATTTATCATTATCATTATCATCACAGTTTGGTAGATGTTAACTTTGAGAAAAATCTCATTAGATTTTCGCTCAGTTTTACTATTCTGACTTCTAAGTGAATCCTTTCATTCAATTTTTGCAATCGATTCAGCAATTTAAGTTAATTCAGTTTTTCGACATGCGGCCTCGTTGATTCATGAATGAGAAAATCAATTTTCCCATGCAAAAAGATGAGGTCAACTTGTGAAGTTGTAGCCATCAAACTGTCATTGATCAAGCATCACCATTCATGTCGGTTCTCAGTTATCAAGAAGGCTTCATCTTTTTCTTGAACGTAGCGAAATAAAGCTTGCCAACTTGACAAGTCGTACACGAGAAGATAGTGCAAATGTTTTGAGAAAAAATTGACCGCAGTGGCAGAAACAGACTAAATTTAATTAAAACAAAATTATTTACTAATAAACATAAGTTTTAAAAGTTTATACATGGTTTTTGTCTATATATTTATGCTAATCTTAAAAGTGCCAGCAGACAGCTAGACAGAACTTAAGTATGAAAGTAACAAGCATAAAATGTAAGTATTCATTTCCTGAATAACCATTCCAGCATCTTCTAATGTCAGTCACTTAGTAACGATGTTTACATTTTGGATATTATTTCTTGTAGCTTAGCAACATGATGCAAACTTAACTCGATTTTCTTCTTAGCTCAGCAACGTCGGATCAAATTTCGCCTACTTAGCTCGCAGCTGTATTTATTTGAGGACTTTTTACCAAAAATGTATACTATCTTAATGCCTAGAGACCAAAAATTCTTTTTGAGTTGATTATACCAAATTGGTGTTCAAAGGAATTATATTATATAGTTACAAGGTTGAATGAATTTAAGGAGCGAATTAAGGAGCGGAGCGTTGTCAGCGTTATAAAGTCACGTAATCTGATTTTCCTGCACCAGTTTCAGGGGTGTAACTAGGGAACTTAGTAAGAAATCTTATAATCGTGGTAAAAAGTCCTGTTTCTTATCTTATCTTTTTCCCGTGGTTCTCTTCCTTAGTTTTGAAAGCTTTGAAAGTAAGTTTAATCCAATAATTTACATCGCCAGCAACCAGTCTTACAATTACAAATATTGTCCATAAATGTAAAGAAAAGGGGACCTATCCAAACAAGGACATTCGCCAGGTGAGCGATGTCGCTATTAGCGTATGTACTCATTTTCTTTCATTTTGTGACATAAACTAATTACAACACTACAAATCTATTACATTTATTGAAATATTCTAAGCGGGTAATATCCTGTCCAAACCCAGGATACATAACATGAAGACTTTGTCGTAACTTCGTATGAAAAGCATTAATACACTGGAAATGGTTAAGGGCCTATACTTTTTACTGACTGATCATCCACAAATCCCAGTATGAAATGAATGGATTGTTGCCGCGCTTGTGTTTGTTATGGCAACATATCAATATCATTTCTAAGTCTCAACAGCTGTCTCTCCCTTCATATTCATCAAGCATTGATTATCATCACACCGTCACAACCTAATCGTTCGCAGCATGACAAATCACCGTGATATTACTAAAATATCCGATGCCAAAGTCAGCCTTCGATTTACAATCGAGACCGGACCATGAAGGTAAACTTTAGGTTCAGTGTTTTTAATAAGACCACCTTAACGGTAATAAGTTTGTACTCCTAGATAGTTGAAATACTGAACAACAAAGTTGACTTTTTAGAAAAGAAAAAAAGCTGCTCAGAGGAGGTCGCTAAAAGTAGCATGTATCAAGTAAGCCTCCTACAGAAATATTGATTAAATTGAGCACTCTCTTATAACGTTCATGCAATGCACGTAACCTTCATAAAAATGTTTGTGAACTTCATATGGATCGTTCAGATGGTTATTTCCATGAATATTGAGATGGATTTTACTGTTTAGTATTTGTGTAAGAGTATATTTACTTCAGTACAACACCGTTTAAAGAACTCTTTAAAAACAGGATAAAAACCCCCAATTATAGTTTAGAGCGTGTACAAGCGAATCAAAGACATAATTTGTTAAATATAAATCTGTAGGTATTTTATGTTGGTACTACAAAAACATTGTACTCAATCAAAATAAAATGACTACGCTATTGGTTGTCAAATCATCTAGAAGTTTTGTTTGTCTCAGACATAAATGAATCGTCGCACTAAACTAGACGCATTAATGAGAAGTTTATTCTCGCTCGTGTATAGAGTTATAGAGCATTCACAGATGACATCATCGCCAAATTCGGTCAATACTTTAGAAAAGTTATGAGAACTTTTATTATTATAATGCTGATGTTATTTGTCTTTGAGTAAAGAAATATCTGAATAGCAAAAAGTGATGACGCCATTTGTAAACGCTTAACTCAACATGTCAGTAAAATTTCTACGCAAGCTTAACTTGCGTTACATAAAATAGTAATGTGTATAAAACAAGTTTTTGTGTGCTTCCCGAGCATACTGCTGCCACAATACCGACTCAAAATCATGTTATTTAAAGCACACCAAAAAGTGAATAAATCACGTATATGTACATAGGAATATTTTATTTTACAAGTGACAAAAGAAGCATGACCATGCACACAACCTTTTCCTCGAGCAGCAGGAGTAAACGAATAAAGATTAAATCAATGAAAATCTCATTTAGACTCTTTTAAATTATTTTGAGTTCATTTCTAGGAAAACCCTAGCCCCTATCCCCACTGAAATCAACTTGACTTGGAAGCTCACTCCACTTCAACAATGAGAGGAGTAATGTACTCGGAGTGTCGGATTCCAAGTGAGTAAGAAGGTAAACGCTGCTTGTTCAACAGAACCATTTCCGGAGAATAAGCACCAGGACCAGGCTTCTTAGTCGAATCTGAAATTTTAAAGGCTTAAATTATATTTGAGATAAACACCAAATGTGGACTTTTCTAATACAAAATCTTGTATATAATGATAAGATTTAATATGTTGTCATGGCAACCAGGGAACAATGGATGCCAATATAGCAATATATCACAAACAGATTACAGTCTTAGTTAACAGAACCGATTTGTTACAAACAAATTAAAATGCCAGGTGATATTTAACTTGTAGCCAGGTAGCATATAAAATCTTGGCATCATTCCAAGGAGTGGAATATAACCCGAAGATAAATAATCGAATAATTTCGAGAACGTTCTGGAACAAACCTCCAGGCATGTAACTGCGTCCCAGCATGGAGTAACCGGGAGCCTTTCGTTTGGTAACATCAGGTCGTACATGTTGGTAAGCTCCTGGGCCAGGTGCTCGGGCCAGATCTTCCGAGAAACCTCCTGTCTTGGACCTGCCGGTCATTGAGAAGCTAGCGGAGTTCATTTTAGTAGGGATCCTGCTTCCCAGGAAGGTAGGAATTGTGTAGACGTTGGGAGCTGGTGTGCTGTCTCCTGAAATTTCGACAATTTTAGATCGAACATTCTCAATTAAACCATATTGGTCTCCTTTAGCTGTCTAACCATCTGCATCAGCTATATGTTCGTAAATGGCTATTAAATAGAAACTGTTCATTTTTGTAACTCCTAACATTACATACGTTTCCTGTATCTAGTTCTCATAGCCATAGAGTAAGCAGGGGCATGTCGTTCTCCTTGAGGATGGACTTTTTCCGGGGAGTAGGCGCCTGGTGCTGGAGTCTGCACTGATCCTGATTGACAAAGAGTGGAAGGCGGTCAGTTTGTTGGTTAATGATTAATTTTATGAAAATGTGAGTTCACCGAATTTGCTGCTTTAGTATAAGTGGTTTGTTCAATAACCAATTTAAGTTGCGATCGTAACGATCTTGGCAAATAATGATATTTTTAATGCAAATGTTCTATTCATAGGTGAAAATTTATATCTCACTTGGATCCTTTTGCCTCCCTAGGATAGAGTACATAGGTGTCCCGTCTCTACCGGTCCGGCTAATTGTTGCATCGATGAAATAGCCAGGTCCAGGGCTGCAGTCCTTTTTGAACACTGGAGAATATATTATTTTAGCGAAGTAATATTCGAATACCTTTGTTTGACTAATTTCTTTAGGTCAATGATTTTAACGTAGAATGTAAAACAGTAAACATCAAAATACTTACTAGTATTCTCGAGACGAGCTCCGAAGGAATATGCAGGAGCCTTCTTCTTGGTGGGATCGTGGTTACCATAGCCAGTTGTATTGGGGAGTCCATATCGTCCTGGCCCGGGTCCTGCGGCAAAATATGATTTGTTTAGAAATAAACCAAGAGTTTATGAATTTATACTGAATTGGATGTACCGAAATTCAAGATTTAAACATATTTTAAAATCGCTCGTTGGTAGCATATGAAAAGCAAGCAGCACGGCAAACAATAGAACAGAAGTGATGTTTTGTAGTAAATCTGTGTTAACTTCTACAGGAAATAGTTATCATTAATGGATAAAGCCTTCAGAAGGATGGACTTGGTGATGGATTGAGGTGATGAACTGTGAGATGACATTGTGCTGGCGAAGTTAGAGGGGAAAAGCGATTCTTAATGGCGATTATATTCTATAAACAAGGTAATTCTTCGAACCTCTTTCTCGAGCAGCGATAATAGGCACTTTCTTTTCGTCTTCCATAGCAGTCTTAACTCGGACTAAAAACAAGGATACTCAATCAATGAAACTTAAAGAAATGAGACCCGACTATACCAGAGGGATACGAACTGTAGTTATAGAAACACCTCCGCAAGCAATTCATATCTGCACAGAGAGTCACGTTAGTAGATGCGCGGCGCATTTAAAGAAAAATTCATAATTTTAATGTTTGATCATTAATATTAAATTAAACTGAAACAATAATAAATGTTGATCAGTTATCTTAAACTTTAAACTTGCTGTAACGTATCTGTAATCTGACAATCAATGCTAACACATTATTTTGATGGATTTGATGAGCAAAACCTTAATGTATAAATTCAAAATTGTATAACCCTGTGCTCACAAAATGATAATTTTATGTTTTATATTCACATTTGGTAATCATTTGGTAAATTGGTCAGCTCAGTAGACATTTTAACGGGTGATACTCGTAAAACATTTGTTTCAAATATTGAATATTGACGTCGCGAGGAGTCGAACTTGGCGCGCGTCCTGGTAGGTTATAAATTTACAATAAACATTGAGTTAATTTTAAAATTTTGATTTACTTTGTAAATGTAAAAATTCAATATTCATTAAACAAATTTAAGTAAAAATGAATTATTGTTAATAATGGCGTTGATTCACGATGTCAATCCTTCGCAGCTCGGTAAGGCACAGTGGTGCATTTTGCCGATCTACCGAAAAAGAATTATTTGATGCGCGGCGCGACCCAGTATGCAGTAGTGCATCGCGCTACAAATAATGGCGTCATCCAATTTTTCAATCATGATTGTTTAGTTTGTAATTTAATTTAAGTAATCATGATTGAAAAATTTGACCATTAATTGCATTAATCATTGATAATTACAATTAATTGACGATGTTAACCCTTCCAGATTGTTGCTTTGCAAAGCAAAGCAATTGCAATTGCAATCACGAGATCTTTGATTTCGTCGATGCGAAGCATGAACAGGAATGATTGATGATAATTCGCGCGGCGCGGTGAAATTCTTTAAAAATTAATTGTTTTTACGTTGTAGGTTTACAACCGACCAGGACGCGCGCCGAGTTGAACAAATATTTTACGAGTATCACCCGTTAATTTTTATGTACTTGTCGTTTGAATTCTGACACGTTGACTTGATAATTGGCAATTTTTTCATATTAATATATTTTAAAAAAGCAAAGCAATTATGATCATAATAATTGATAATGCGCGCGGCACGCCTAGTCGAAGTGGAATTGTTTTCAAATACTGCAAACTCTGTTTTTTGTCTTTTTCTACAGGACTGTGGAGCTATGACAAACTTATTTGACACGCCAATCCCTATTCGCTGCGCCCTTTTTCATAATAAAATATAAGTTTCTTCATTCTTGTAAACTTTAAGTGAGGGAACAGAAAAGCGAGCAAGAGACTTGCAAGCTAGGTAGGAGATAGACCACCATATGTAAATCAACATGGGTGTTAAGCTGACCGCCAATACTAGATACGGAACCTTGTGAAGCCATTCAAAATATCGACAGAATGTTGCTTAAAGTAAATAAATTATAACTGTATATGTATCATTCGACTGGTATCGTAGTAATGATCTCGATTTCAATGTTACCTATTGTAGGGTTAATAATTGACTCATGAAATCTTATCTTAAAATGTGTAGTTAAATTGAACCCAACAAGATTGATTATCTTTAAAGGTCTGAGAGGAAGAATCTAAATTACGCTGCACAATTTTAGCCTCAATGTTCTAATCAAATATTGGTTCAAATAGGGGAATAACCTTTAGAATCATAATCCATCTGTAAACAACACATGAAACACATTAATTAGGCAAATAAAACTATCCCATGTCAGTTATTCTATTCAGTGATTCTTACCCTAAGAATAAACTGTTGGGCTTGGCGGTCCCATGGATGATGGACTTTTAATCGGTTGGAGACTCGCTTGTGCCATCAATTGCAGAGAGTGCACAAAAAACTAGATAGATAGACTAATAGATAGTTCTGGTAATGAACGAGAAAACAAGTAATTTACAAGCAGGTCAACTGAAATGTAATTGATGACTTATTTTGTAGCAAATTAGTTTTGATTCTAACACTTCTAATTAAAAACTTTTGTAGAAATATTTATTATGATGAGTGAAGATGTTTGTGTCATTGTTATTTGATTTGATTAATTGATTTGGTTTGGTTTTAACACTTCTTGAATAGTACACAAGGTGTGCAAGTATTAAGTAAGTGAGAAAAGGGGTATCATTCAGGAAGTTTAGCACATTTAATGCTCACAGCCTCCAAAAACCCCTAACATTTCTGAGACTGAGCACAAACTTTCCCAAAGGTTTAAAGTTCCGAGAAACACTCTACTACTTATTTCTGGTATAGTTTCGGGTGCCCAGATGTTCACACACAGGCATTGAATCTCAGTTTCTGAAGGTCTTCTGACTGGAAGACCTTAATTGTTTTTTATGTAACTGTGTCAACCAAGAAGTTGAAGTTTTAAATGAGTGAAATCTTTGGCCTAAGTACCCAAATAGCCCAATTACTAAAGATAAACATTAGGACAGACAACCATCTACCCTAATGTATACCTTCGGTGGTTAGGCTTCTTGGATTATTAAAAGTAAAGTTAAAATATTTGCTGATGATCTTAAGCTTATAGCTAATGCCTCCGAGCATGAAACTATAGCTAATGATCTGAACGAACTAGAGATGTGGGAGAGTAAATGGCTTTTAAAGTTTAATCCTACTAAGTGTTCAGTAATGCATTTAGATGTTAACGATAACCCAAGATCAAGTTATTCTCTTAATGGAGTTACATTGGCAGAATCTGTACAGGAAAAAGACTTGGGAGTTATAACCCATAACTCTCTGCTTTGGAATGAACAGATTAAGGCTTCAATATCTAAAGCCAACAGAATGATATGTTGGATTGTTAGAAATCTGATTATCAGGGAAAAATCTGTGATGATATCCATTTACAAAGCTTTAATAAGACCCCATTTAGAGTATTGTGTTCAATTGTGGACTCCAGTTGCGGCTCATGGAAGTTGGGGGATCATCTTGGAGCTGGAGAGCGTCCAGAGGCGGTTTACCCGTCTGATTGACAAGGTGGGTACTCTTCCATACAGTCGTCGACTGAAAATCCTCAATTTGACAACGCTGGCAGAGCGGTGAATACGTGGGGACCTCATTGAATCTTTTAAAATGATAAGTGGTTTGGCCAATTACGGAGCTGGTTTGTTCAGTATGAGCAGATCTGGTCTTAATGTGGTATCAAACAGTAGATGCAGTAAAAGTAGAAGTAAAATGAAGAAAGTCCACAGTTCTTTTCTTCCGGAGAGGGTGAGACCATATTGGAACAAACTCCCCTCGGATGTCAAGAATTGTGGGACTGTGTTAAGTTTTAAAATAAGATTAGAGGCTTTCAAAAAAGAGACTATTTTAAACGGATCCGTAAATGATATTCATTTTTGGTATGTTTCGGACGAAGTATTAGGAAAGATTGAGGGATTAAATTATGCTACTAATAAAGAGAAGCACAATGAATATCTTGTGTGTCATCCTCATGTTGCTAAGAAACGCTTTATTAACTTATATAGTAGTGGAAAGTATGTAAATTAGATTCATTTTATCTTGGTTGTTTAGGCCAATAGATTTAAGATATTTTTAAAACTTTAGTAGATATATTTTTGATGATGTGTGATGATGTTTGTGTCATTATATTTTGATTTGATTTGATTTGATTTGGATACTGTCATCTTCACATGGTGTAAGGTCTGGACTTCTGGCTGGCTGTGTGTACACAGGTACTGCCCAATAGTTATTTGGGGAAATCAGATGTATGTTAGTCATGACTGTATTTATTTATGAAGAATATTTATGAAATATGCTGGTCAATTCATGATCAGTCGAATTGAAATTAACTTAAAAAACCTTTTAATTTCTTGATACAATTTTGTCAATTGGCATGGTTTTCAGGCATGGTTGAAAGGAAATGTACCTATTCATAAAAAATGACTGAAACTGATGGCTCAACTCAATTGTTTGGTGGGGTGGCAAATGTGAGAGCCAAAACCCAGAACATCCATGACACTCCACGTTTTTACGATGGGGAGGAAAATGGTGTTGATGATAGAATTACAGCTGATAACATGGATGAGGCAAGGCAGCAGAACATGGCGTATGAGTACCTGTGCCATTTAGAAGAAGCTAAAAACTGGATCGAAGCTTGTATCGAGGAAGATTTGGGACCAACAATGGACATTGAGGAGGCCCTGCGGAATGGAGTTATTCTTGCCAAGTTAGGACATTATTTTGCTCCTGAAATTGTTACTAAGAAAAGGATTTATGATCCTGACTTGGAGCGCTTTAACGTGAGGGGTCTTCATTTCAAACATACTGACAATATCAACTACTGGATGAGAGCCATGGCTAGCATTGGACTTCCTCAGATATTTTTTCCTACCACACCTGATTTATATGACAAGAAAAATATGCCAAAGGTCATCTATTGTATTCATGCCCTTAGTATCTGGTTGAGTAAACTGGGAAAGGCTCCAAACATCGAGAATTTGCTTGGTATTGCAGAATTTACGGAAGAGGACATTACTGAGATGAGAAGAGCTTTGGAGGACTATGGTATATCTATTCCTGCATTTAACAAAATTGGTGGTATTTTGGAGAAGGAAATAGGTGTTGATGAGGCAGGTAAACATGCTGCTGTTATTGTTATCAACGAAATTCTCCAAAAGGAAGACCCAGAAGTTACACTCAAGGCACTTAACAACAAGAAAGCTTATCTCAACTACATTGAAATTCCTAACAGTGTAAGGTACCACGAAATTTTGTTTTTGGCAAAGCTTGATAAAACTGAGACTGCTCTGGAAGAAGGTAAAACATCGGAGGAAAGTGACATTTACGAATTCTATCTGACTCATACTGAAATCCAGGACATTATTGATGATATCAATGATATAGTTCGAAAAGAAATTGCTGAAAGTAAGTTCAGAGCTGCCATTGCAGAAATCAATAGATGTGCGATGGGCGACTGTGCCCAAACATTACTTGCTGCACTGCAAGTAACTGCTTCTCGATTAAAGAACGTGAATGACTTGAACTACGACTTGTATCTCGAATTTCTCAAGGCTGCAAAGCTATCAAAGGAAGGTAATCTCAACGTTGATGAAATTCAAGAAGTTTTAGAGTTGGCCAATGAAGAAATGAGAAAAAGAAGAGACCTCGAGGGAGCTCTGAAGGCTTTGCATGAGAACTTTTTGGCATCCAACATCGATGGAACATTTGAGGCACTTCACCACGTCGCATTCAAGCTCCCAACTCTTCACAAGAATGCTGCCCCAAAATATCAGGTTACCTACCTTGATAGTTCTGTAGCTTAATTGAATAAATTATTAGTTTATGAATCATCATTTATTTTTATAAGAGTGAGGGAGGGAGGGCTCCAATAATGATGATGAACCCTGATTTGATCATGTATTTAATAAATAATATACATGGCATCTTAATATATTCATGGTGGTCATGCAATGCTTCTAATGAATCATAACTTAATCGTTATAATTAGATTTTTAACTCTCATATATTTTTCTTCAGGCTACCTTATTCTTTGAACTCGCAAAGTTGCAAGACAGAGCCGAGAAAGAAGCTGAAAAGGAAGGTGTAGAACTAGAAGAACCCATTACTATTCGATTGACTCACGCTAACATACAGGACTGTATCAAGGCTGTAAACAACCAGGTAAATGTGACGTCACTCACGTAGAACATGTCTCCTTTAAAACTCAGAGATTTATTCGGAAGGTACAAAAAGTGCTTCAATCCCCGGGCCGGAGTAGTTCAGTGCGTTGAGTTTGCAATTTGTTCTAGTCTATTCGGTACGGCTGATGTATTCGGAATGTTATTATGTCTTTAGTTGGGCAAAGTGCCAGAAATCAACTGATCCAAAATAAGTATGTCCGGCGAAGTTATTGTTTTAATGTATCCTAATCTGATCCCAATTTTTCAGCTGAAAGAGGTACGGCGGTTTGCGGAGGCGATAGCCAATATAAACGGGTGTTTGGTTCAAGACGACCCACAGGAGACCCTAGGAGCTCTACATGTTCAAGCTGCTGGTATCAAAGAGGTACGTTATTAACCATTTACTTCGGCCACAATAAAAGAATTTATTAGTTATTAACATTCGATTCAGCATATTATGTCATTAGTTTTAGTTGTACAGCAGGGTGTCAGAATTATTGGCGTGTTTGAAATTGTATGTATTTCTTGATTAGACTCTTTAAAATCTAATTTCATCTAAGAACGTTTGTAAAAATACATGTACTTCTAGGAGACTAAGACTTTACAACAATGTGCTGTTGTCAATTCAATAATAGCTGTTTTGAGAAGCACACTTTAATTCAATAGTAGCTGTTTTGAGAAAAACACTTTAAAATCTTCTCTGAAACTTGGCTGATGGCCATTTCAAAACTGGAGCAAATAACTGGAGAACCTGATCTTCGAGTACAATCATCTTGCTCTTGGCGTAAGCTGCTGTTATTTCCTCGAACTTTGTACAAGTTTTATGAACTGCTTACTTAAGTACTTTGTGATGGGTTTTAAAGTTTGTTTTAAAAAGCTATTTTCCGGGTTTCAGTAGTTTTTATTACACTTCTAAGTGTGAGCATTGTATGAAAGTTTAGAATATTTGTATGTCTCAATAACGCTGGGTCGAATGTAACATACCTTGGCACTTGGAAAGGATCCCTTGATCTGTAGTCAGCTGTAGTCAGCTGTAGTCAGTTGTAGTCAGCTGTAGTCAGCTGTAGTCAGCTGTAGTCAGCTGCAGTCAGCTGTAGCCGGCTGTAGTCAGCTGTAGTCAGCTGCAGTCAGCTGTAGTCAGCTGTAGTCAGCTGTAGTCAGCTGCAGTCAGCTGTAGTCAGCTGCAGTCAGCTGCAGTCAGCTGTAATCAGCTGTAGTCAGCTGTAGTCAGCTGACTTATTCACAATTCCTACTAGAAACTCTGTCCGTGCGATGTCAATTCGCAACATTTACGATCTGTTTATTGATTGATTTAAACTCTCAACTATCACATTATGACTGTGTGTGTAATAATGTGATACCTAGATAATTATACAATACAATTAGAAATTCCCCATTTCTAAGGTAGACGTGATCTGGTCCCTGATTACTGGTCAGGTTCCTTGCTTGCTTTCTTTGTCACGAACACACTCACGCAATGATCATACATCTCGTACAATAATAAAATCTTATATTGCACAGTGTATAACATACAAATGATTATAATTTATATTGTCATGATATTGCAGGTATTAGAAAGATGTGCCGATGACTACCACGTGTGGATAAAAGAAGGTATCTCAGTAAAGAAAACAGAGTCTGAGATTGCAGAGGGCGACAGCTCCTGGATTGAAATGCGAAGTCCTGACAATCAGATATTTTTCTACAATCCCGAGTCCAAAGAGCTTGTCTGGGTAGGTTATATTAAACGCTTCATTGACGTAGTAGCTATTTAGTGAACAGTTTAACCATTACTAATACATCTTTAAAGTACACATTGAGCGTGAGAGCACCTTTATGCAGCTCTCGATTTACCCAGCTCGTTGTGAATGAAGCATTGCAACAATCATTTTGACCTTTGAAAATTGAAATAATTATGCCCACTGTTCGACCTGTATTTTTTCTGAATAAACGCTGCTCAAAACGTAATCCCTCATAAAACTCGTAATAAAACATGTGAGTGTCCTGAGATCTGAAATACCGTTAGTGCTATGATGTAAGAGTAACTGTTCGTTAACCAAATAGCGATATTTAATCTAATAATGCCTTACAGATCGGAGAAATTTAAGCTGATGTTATCCTGGCATTCGTCCTTATTAATGTTGTGTAATATTATAACAAATGAGAAACAGTCGCCGTTTTACATGCAAAATATGCATGATATTTGAGCTGCTAGAAGGAATGCAAACAATTTAACAGGATAATATGTTAATGATAATTAATTCACTAATGATTCTATCACAGCAAACTGAATTGAATTCCGTAAGTAGCTAGCCCGATATTTGCTAAGATTTATTTGTGAAACAAAGCAGCGGGATGCTACATTTCTTACATTTCTTTCATTTCTTACATTTCTAACCTCCATTTCACACCATTTAAACCAATCGCATGCCCAGTCTAATGCTATGCTAGCGATTACTAAACTACACATTTTTTAAACATTTTATACTTTTTGTGTTTTATAATCTGATCATTTCATTCAATTACACACGTCAGTTGGGTAATAGGCCAATTACTGCAAATCACTCACGATTTGAGGTGTTTGACTGTTTTTATACCACGTTGTGTGACGCTTCCCTCCCCTTAGGGTTTTAATGACACTGGTTAATTATTTGCTGTAATGTATAACATTGTATAGTGTCTTCCTTTTCAGCTGACGCGGGCAACTACATTCTAACTTTGCCCGGCCAGCTTGCATACAACTAACTTAACTTGCAGATTATTACTGTCTTAATGTTGGTTAAATTAATCATAATATCATGATTCAATTATCTTTCAATTAACCTATAATTAAACCCCCCTAATCGTGTGACCTGAACCTTTTCTCTTCTCCATCAGGTTAAACCAGAAGGAGCATCAGAAGTTTCCCACTATATGGCGCAGGATGAGATTCAATGGATCGTGTCACGTGTCACAGCCAAGCGGCTCCGTGACGAGTGGTTCGATACCAATGTGGACGCTGTGGTCCGCCTGCAGAGTATTGCGCGCATGAGCATGGCTAGAAAGAGGTAAACCCGGAAAAACTATTCCCGCTGTATTAGTTAGTGGCGCCAATAATTTAACACTGTTTAATTGTATATATTGGAAATTAATCAAAACACTACATTCATTTTCTGTTCATGTACAATGACTTGACCGAACAAACGCGCACTCACTCGACTTTACAGGCTACACTGTGAATGATGAGCTGTTACATTCTCAAAATGACTGTAACACCACTGTAACACCACTGTAACACCACTGTAACACCACTGTCACACCACTTATCATGTCTTACACGACTACCTATACTGACCTGCCAACTGCCAAGGCGGGTGCAGGAGGAAATACAATTTAACGATCATCTGAAAATTTAACGGTGCCGGCGCCTCTGGAATCTGTGTTGCTCAAAAGAGCTGCATTATGACACATCTATCATGCGCAGTATATTTTATAGGCTGGGCATGAGCGACAAAAGTTTAAATTGTTTCACAAAATTTTGGTATGGCTTGAGAAGTTCGATCCCATGGGCATGATCAGACCTTTTGAACTAGACAACATTGGTACAAATATCTCCATTCTCCACCCTGCATATTTTACAAACTATTCTGAATATCAGGATGCACGAACTTTGTAGTCCGCATTCCTAGGAGTCCTGCAGCTCACTTTTCATTTCTCAGGTTTAAGGCCAGACTGAAGTTTTTACACGAGAACGAGGAGGCTGCTCTGAGAATTCAGGTAAATTTAACTTTGTAGTGTTCAGTAGGGAGCATCACTGCTTTCGATATATACAAAGTGAAACAAGGCAAATGACTGGTGAAAGCTAAATGAAATGGTCGACGTTTCGGCACTCATTGGCATTTTAAAATATTAAGCTCCAACAGAATTATGCGCTGTTGGAACTTATATTTTAACTTATTGTTTGGATGTATTATTTTTAGAGCAGCATATTATTTTAAACTACCGTGCATGTTTAGCCAACTTCAAGTTGGGGACCACCTTACTTACTCGTTTTAGTTCCTATAACTGAGCTCATCTACTTAAGTCAGACCCTTTTTGATTTAATCATTAATCTTATTAAAATTCCATGATGAGTACCGAAACGTCGATTATTTCATTTAATTTTCATCAGTCATTTGTCTTGTTTCACTCTGTCTGTTGAGAGCTGTGATGCTCCCTACCAAACACTACAATGTTAAAAACTCACGCTCGGCCTTACGAGATCTAGGTAAATTTAAACTATTATATTTTATAAATAAAAACTTGTTCCATGTTAGATCCACATTGTAGATACATAATATCATAACCCCTCCATCCAGTATGAGTATTGGATCTTAACCAAGACGTAAACGCTACTTCAGACTTGATGTGTTATTCTTGACACTGAGTAGATACAGTAGTACTCATTACCGCTCTTAAAGCAGATGATCACCATTCACACTGGTTTAGTAGTTAAGACTGAACGCAACTCTAACAATTTAATGTTCAAATCGTAGCACCGTAGCAAGAATAAGTCTCCTGTTATTGGATGATAAGCGGTCACGTGATGCCCAAATAAGGAGGTCACGTGGTTATGAGAGTTGTTTTATCATAACTATTAAGTCTAATTCTGCACACGTGATAGATAATACTAACACTCACACTCAACAGGGTATAAACTCTAGAGATATTAGAAATAATATGAGAAATATCATTGCTATTATTCATGATCTCAACTAACTTCATATAATTGGTGGTTTATCAATATAAAAAAGGTTCATCATAATAATATAATATAATTAGTTTCATAGTATAATTAGTTTCATCAAATGATATAAGCCTGCCACATATCGATAAGATATCGCCTAAATTCGGTCGGCAGCCTTTTTAACATTATACTGCCTAAGAACACGAACAATGGATTTTACATTTCGAAGAGTGCATAATATGGGAGTATGGGTCATGTGATTAATGTTCAGAACTTCTGAACATGATCGATTAACAGATGCCAAAATTATGCCACTAATGTAAAAACACTATTTTTGAATGTAACAATATCCTAAACTTCAAATGAAGATGTCCATATTATTATACTATAATACGTGTGTTATAGTTCTCTACTTGTCTAATAACGGTCTTGTGATACCGACTATTGTATTTATTAATATTGCCATTCTCATTATTTTATTTACTCAATACGCACACAATACATATTGCAAGCATTCATCATTACCAGCATTTTGGTGCGACACATGAACTTAACACATGATTGTTAGCCGCCGACAAAGCTGTTAATACATAATAAATATTACATGATCGTTTGTTTATACGATCATATTATTTTCTTTTAATTATCATATGCCAGGATAAAACAGGATATTGTTACAGTATCTTGGCACCTGTCACTATATGGACAAAATAAAGAAAGTATTTGTGAACGTTTGTAACAAATAACAACCTGTTACTGCTTATATAAACTTATTGCTCACACAATAATTATTCATGCTATTTTTAAATACGACAAATTTTAAAATTACGACAAAGTAGGTTTGCGCCTGGAGTCACACTTTATTGAATAAAAATATCTGTGTACTTCCTTGCACACGGAACAATTCACTGATAAGCAAAGAAAATAACGGTTGATTTGTAATGAATGAACATGTAAATAGTCAACTGTTTGTCTGTTCAGCAACGGAACAATTATCCAAACATTTCTGGAATGTCGTGTTGGGATAAATATCTCAATAAATTTAGTTGGATATTCGATCAGTCGTTAAAAATCATAAACTATATACAACACTACAAATTTATTACATTTGTGGAGTATTATGGAAGTGCTTTAATCAGTCCACACTCCACATCCTGGCTCTATAATATGTAGGAGCTTGTTTTAATTCTTAATGATAAGCTCGAATAAGCATCGGATAAGGGAAGTATTTACATTTGTCTTCGTAATGTAACGGTTATTTAAGGTAGTTTCTGAGGGTCCCATTTTGTTAGAGGTTATATTGTTATGTAATGCATACATCAGTAAAGAAACTCGTTAGATAACACCGTAAATAAAATCGTTAAGTGTCACAATTCAACCACTTGCTGGAAACAAGTGCCCTTTGATCTCACTACCGCACCGTATAGATAGGTGAAATTAGAAACTCCGGCCGTGGTCATTGGTCGTCGGACCTCCTTTTAAAGTTTAAGAAAACTCTCAACATCCACTTTTAAATGTTTCAACACTTGGCCTTTTCAGGAACTTGGCTTGTTTTCCACATGGGTGCTAGACATTTCTTTTCGGATTGGTATTTCAGGAATGTAGAGCTAAATTGAGCCTCTTAACAAGGCCATAAAATGAACGTTTAGCCAGGTTCTGTGTACTGTATAAAAACTGTGATAATCATAACCAACTGGTGTTATACATGGTAAATGGTTTGACACCATTTTACACGGACACAAACACGTTTCATCTCGGTTCATACCTCATGGTGTTGAGTTACACTGGAGAGATAAGGTCCCTTACTCTACTGAATATGAGATCATACCCACATCAACTCACATTATCATTCATCTCTGTTTATCAACACATTTACATGAAACAACTAGACAGGTTCCCTTGTATAATGTGGTCACTTGTGGTGATTTTGAGAAAGATGCAGATCTCCTTATTTAGGCATCACGTGACCGGTACCATTTCCTTTGTTCTCTGAAACAAAGTGAGAATAGGTCACACGGTTACCCCTGTGGCCCTGAAGATAAAGTTACATAACAAATAATGATTCTCCTGTTCATTTATTGTAGTCCAATAATATCCACCGCGGGTTAATTAATAAATATAGAGTAGGATGAGAAAGTGCGGTGTAGTAGTATTACTGGAGTAGTAGTAACTAGTGTGTATATAGTATTACACGTGTCAAAGCAACCTCACAACTTGGTAAACTGTTACAAACAGTAACTCACCCGTCCAGGGCAATACGGGCTAAGAACTCTACTTTCAAAGGAAATGTATCGTAGCACAAGTGAAGAAAGCGTGTACCGAATATTTATTGTTAAGATGATATAATATCACGATATCACGTTAAATTACGTTAATAATTATTGGCACTCTTATTTAATTTTTAGCAGCAAATCATCCTTACAATTCTCTAGCACAGTATAACAAGTTTTACTCTAATCTCTTATTACATATACAAAATGTTTTGATTTCATTCTCAAAACAGCAAAATATAACTGTGCTACAATTTTCAGTGTCTATGGAGGGGATACCTAATCAGAAAAGAACTGAAAGCCCGAAGAGACTATCTGAACGCCAACATGAGACATATTATCAGAATACAAGCCTGGGTCAGAGGCTATCAGATCAGGAAGAACTACCTTCAGCTCACACAGGACAAGCCTTCAGTTCAGGTGAGGAAACTGGAAATGGAGGAAATTAGGCGGGAAATTATGACTCTCATTATTTAAAATCTATTATTTAAAACTGCTCGGGCTAGGTGTTGAGCATCTATTTTGAGATCCGATCTCGAAGAAAGCTTAGAAATGCTGATTTATTAGTCCTTCACGGAGTTAAGATTTTTAAGGTTTACTGGCGCTCCCACAACGAACAATTAGTCAACAATCCGTTGAATAGTTCAGCTATGAAGCGAGGGTGACATGTGTGTTACCAGAGTGTTACCAGGTGTTACCAGGTGTTACCAGGTGTGTTCCCAGGGGGCCAGCTATGTGTGTGGTTCTGTGACACCAGCTGTGTTACACCACCATTCTAATTCAAATTGGTTAATAAAATACGACAGGTATCTGGTTACACCGTTTTCTGTGGTTCACTGCCCCCACGGCCCCGGATATACTGTCACTGATCCATCACGTTACCTTGCGTGTAGATTCCGTGTGCCTGAGCTGAGTGCTACGGCATTTGCGTGTGTGTGTGTGTGTGTGTGTGTGTGTGTGTGTGTGTGTGTGTGTGTGTGTGTGTGTGTGTGTGTGTGTGTGTGTGTGTGTGTGTGTGTGTGTGTGTGTGTGTGTGTGTGTGTGTGTGTGTGTGTGTGTGTGTGTGTGTGTGTGTGTGTGTGTGTTACGGCATTCGCGTGTGTGTGTGTGTGTGTTACGGCATTTGCGTGTGTGTGTGTGTGTGTGTGTGTTACGGCATTTGCGTATGTGTGTGTGTGTGTGTGTGTTACGGCATTTGCGTGTGTGTGTGTGTGTGTGTGTGTGTGTGTTACGGCATTTGCGTGTCAGTGTGTGTATGTTTGTCGACCCCTCATATAAAAAGTGTTGGATGCTAATTGCTACTATACTCAGTGTATAAATAACTGCTGGAGCTGTTTAACGTGGTGTATTTAAAGCAATTTAGGATTGGTTTAGAACGCCCCTCCCTGTCCCATGCATTATTACACTATGTGGTTGGGGCATTTTGCATAGTAAATATGGTTACTACTCATATATATCATATTATTTGATTGGTATTCGATTTCTGATTATTTCTCTAGGAATATGATTATTATATCTCAATTTGGCTTTAGGTAGGGTGCCCCGCTAAAAGAACTGGATTCTTCCAGGAAGCATCCCGTGCACAGAGCTTGGTCTACATATATATTAAATTATTAACCATTCATTCTGTATGTGCACGAAAATTTATTTCAATCAATATATAAATAAATTGAGTTCTAACATTTATTACGTAACATCTATTTTATATTATGAATATTATGTAATAAATGTAAGACTTTGATTTATTTATATTTTAAGTTATTATTTCTATTCAAACATCTGTACACTAATAATTGTTCGCACGTCATTGCGCCCCTGAACAGCCCTGTCCCCGCACATAACCGCATTCTCCCCACATTAGTGGACCTTGTAAAGGTAGATATTACCAAGCTAAAGATCTAGGCTCGTTAACTGTCCCTTGCTCCCGGTGCTTTATCATGTTTATATGTAATATTATCAACTCATAATCATGATAACATGTCTTCATTCATTAATCATGAGCAAGGTGTGTAAGCCTTCCATGCAGCAGATTTCAGACGTTCCTGCGCTAATTAATATTTGACCCTGGTTGGGACCGTTTGAATGTTAATACCCAGTGTGTCATTGTAATGGTTAGAAGGTATTGTCAAATCTGTTGTTTATTCAGCAGATTCAATTTGCAGGTATCCGTTCTCACAAGCCAGCCCTGTACTGCAAACTTTACTAATTGACGTAGTTCAATCCATATTTTAAATAGTGGACTGAAGTTTCCGGTCTGCTTAATAAACATTAAATAAAATAAAATAATAAAAAAAAATATTTTTTATATTTATTTTAATCCATATTTTAAATAGTGGACTGAAGTTTCCGGTCTGATTAATAAACATTAAACAACAACAATTACCTTAACATATTAAAGTGAGGCTGTAGTATATTTACTGCAATACTAAAGAATATTTTAATAGTTTAATACTATAATACTATATACTATCCCAGGTGCTGTACAAGTTCCTCTACCTGCTGGACCAGTCCGCAGTAGATCACGCAGAGGAGGCAGAACTGAGGAAACACAAGGCTTCCATCGTCAAGGAGATCAGACACAACCAGCAGCTCGAGAAGGAAATCAATGAGATGGACATCAAAATCGGTTAGAATATTATATTATGTTTATATTATAGTTGGATTTTTGGTATGCAACTTCTCTTTAGTTCCAGTAATTTGGTATTATTCATCATTGTTACATTGTTACCATAGCAGCGGTAGTTCCACTACTACGGCTGTGGAAGCCGTGTCGGCGGGTACCCAAAAAAGGAATTTTTGTTAAATTCTTTAAGCGGTAAGGTGGCAACACCGAGAAACAAGCAAGCAAGTACCTATGACGTGTCAAAGTATGCGCATGTAAGCACAACCAAAGGAACGTTGTGAAGACCGTAATTTCTTTTAACTCTGGCATTCTTCTGCTTGTAATGTGCGAGCAAACACTGATTGAGTGTAGGATCGTGATACAGGTATTGGACATTCGGGTGTCATATTATCATATTATGTAAATTCCTTACATCGCTTTCAATCATATCTGCTATTTTGAGCAGGTTGATTTATGTTACACATACATGACATGCCTCTGATTCTCAATACTATGGGTTACTCCGTGTGTGTTGACGCTCCTGACTACTAGATACTCAATGTTAAACCGTCTGTTACTTTAACTACGCCTGAAATTCCCTCGGGGACCCCGTTTAAACCATCACCCTATTAGCTTCACATAGTTAACATAGCTAACACAACTTTAGCTTTTTAGCTTTTTAAAGTTCTTCCAGTCTGTTAACTGTCTACAAATATGTTCAAACATTGCAGAATACTTCTGAAACAAACTAAGAAATCGTCTCTTACATATTTTATTAGCCATGTTTTCATCTCTGTTGAGATTCAATTTTAAACACGTAATCCGTACAAAAACACTAGAAACGAGTACAGATATATTATATATTATGTTAGTTATATATTCTATAATATTATGTTATTTGTATATATTATATTATGGACTCCAGTTATTTTCAAGCTTGAAGACCTCCTTGTTATAGTTCAATCTCATTTTATCTTACTAATATATACTAGTATAAAGCGAGACGATATATATTATATGTTTTCCGTACCATTTTACTGACACCACGGCATCAGCTTTAGCACGACTTTCCGCAAAAACCTTAAAAGATATACAATATAAATTTTTTGACTGGTTCAAATGCTTTAATGGCCTTCAAATCAGCACGAAAAAATAAAAATTGGCCAAGGAATAAGAATTTGAGTGCCCAAAATTTGGACTCCCAAGTGGTTTCAAAAACGCGTATTAAATAGGTAATAATTATTTTAGTCTCTTTAGGGTTAGACGGGTTCCTGCTAGTTATGTTAAAGCGTTGAAAGTATAGAAAAGTGTAAAAATAGCCGCTAACAATTTACTATCGGCAGGTTTACTAGTGAAGAACAGGCTGACGTTATCAGATGTAGTGACAGCCAGTAAGAAACTGAAGAAGGGAGGCGAGGTGGTTCCCAAGAACCGGGGACTCAAGGTGATTTTTACTAGATTTTATTGTTTTTATTGTTTTTATTTTTTATTTTATTGTTTAAAAAGCTTCACATTGTACTGTGGAACATTAAAATCGTCTCAATCGGAATCTTTAAATAGTATATTTCCGGTTACAGTTTATATTGGGCATTATTGTAGGATTTTGAAGATTAATTGTTCTTAACGGAGGTTCTTTGGCACCGTTTAAACGTTTCAATTCAGCAAACATGCCAGCAATATAGCATGGAATTAATGTGTTACATTGTCTGTAAGAATGTAAGCATTTACCCAACGTTTTATAGATGTCGTCTTGTTGCGGAGTTAACGAAATTGTGTGTAAGAAAACACACAAATTCATAGTAAGTGGCTTACTCAGCGCTGATGCTTGAACCGTTTTTATGTACAGCCAGATACCAAGAGAATGGATTTTATTTAAGAAAACTGTCGTCCTAGGACGATGTCAGTTAAAGTTCCATTAGCTACTAATTGAATAATTAGCTACTAATTGAATAATGAGGCGAGAAATAAGTTTGTACCTAGACGGTATATTTGTTATACTATTACTATCATAATATAAGTGTCATCGTTTACCTTGAATTGTACCTCGCACAACATATAAAATTTAAATATTAACTTTGTGTTTTGACCGTCAGAAAACGTTACTTAAAATTACAAACGTTTCACGTGCGCTTTTACGGTAGGTTTGTCTCATTAAAGTACACTTGGTACAATGTCACAGACTAATAAGTCTAAACAACATTCGTAATCTATTATGTGTGTCGCGCTGTCAGATCTGTTATCTTTGATATATTACACAAAAACCGCAAGCTTTTTATCTACCCTCCCCCGGATAGAACGAGCCCAAACAACCCAGCCTAATAATGAGTATCTCTAAATATCAAGACCCCGTGTTCCCTCTGCATGTAGAGGTAGTAGAAGAGACTTGACTGGCTTGGTTTGAAGATTCCCATTGTCTGGAGTTTAACAGTTGGTATGTGTTTACGGCTCGTTTGTTCTCTGGTGGACTACAAAGAAAGCCTACAAGATAAGTAGGTGCTGATACTGGCTAAACTGTTTCACCCACACGGCCGTACCGATCCGAGCCTGGAGCAACAAGGCGTAACTAGGGCAACAAGGCGTAACTAGAGCAACAAGGCGTAACTAGAGCAACAAGGCGTAACTAGAGCAACAAGGCGTAACTAGAGCAACAAGGCGTAACTAAAGCAACAAGGCGTAACTAGAGCAACAAGGCGTAACTAAAGCAACAAGGCGTAACTAGAGCAACAAGGCGTAACTAGTAACTAGAGCAACAAGGCGTAACTAGAGCAACAAGGCGTAACTAGAGCAACAAGGCGTAACTAGAGCAACAAGGCGTAACTAGAGCAACAAGGCGTAACTAGACCAACAAGGCGTAACTAGAGCAACAAGGCGTAACTAGAGCAACAAGGCGTAACTAGACCAACAAGGCGTAACTAGACCAACAAGGCGTAACTAGAGCAACAAGGCGTAACTAGAGCAACAAGGCGTAACTAGAGCAACAAGGCGTAACTAGAGCAACAAGGCGTAACTAGAGCAACAAGGCGTAACTAGAGCAACAAGGCGTAACTAGAGCAACAAGGCGTAACTAGACCAACAAGGCGTAACTAGAGCAACAAGGCGTAACTAGAGCAACAAGGCGTAACTAGACCAACAAGGCGTAACTAGAGCAACAAGGCGTAACTAGAGCAACAAGGCGTAACTAGAGCAACAAGGCGTAACTAGAGCAACAAGGCGTAACTAAAGCAACAAGGCGTAACTAGAGCAACAAGGCGTAACTAGAGCAACAAGGCGTAACTAGAGCAACAAGGCGTAACTAGAGCAACAAGGCGTAACTAGAGCAACAAGGCGTAACTAGAGCAACAAGGCGTAACTAGAGCAACAAGGCGTAACTAGAGCAACAAGGCGTAACTAGAAGCAACAAGGCGTAACTAGAGCAACAAGGCGTAACTAGAGCAACAAGGCGTAACTAGAGCAACAAGGCGTAACTAGAGCAACAAGGCGTAACTAGAGCAACAAGGCGTAACTAGAGCAACAAGGCGTAACTAGAGCAACAAGGCGTAACTAAAGTCTTTAAACCAGGTCGTGTGCATACCACCACGTTTCAACACTTCACCGTGGTTAAAAACTGAATTGTTGCAAAAATCTGCAATATCCTCCAGCCGTTAATTGTACTAAAATAATGCTCTGGACGGTTTCCAATGTTGTATGTTGCTTAAAAGCAGCGGGAACCGTACGTTAGTTTCTCCCAGCGAGATCCGTAGCAATGTATGGCTTTTGTACAATCTAATTCACACATTTTCAACGTTCTATGCGCTTCTCTACTGTCAACATGGTACATCAGCTCAGTGGAGAAGTGACACTTTATAAATTTTATAATGTATGCAGTAGTCAGCAGAGTGTTTCAATGTAGAGTACAGCTTGACACACTATTTGTGACGCAACAGAAACTTGGCTTTTATCTGACCTGTAACTGACCGGTTATTTTTTGATATTACCAACAAATCCGATAGCACTGTCATTATACTGGTTAGGTGCCTAGTTTATGTCTGTTTAAATGATTGTATTTTATATTCGGATAAATGGTACAGATTACACTGAAACTCTGGACCTGAAAATCAAAACCGAAAGCCACAACCTGGCGCCAGAAGTTACAATTTTCGCTGTTGTACAAATAATGTGCAACTTAGAGGATCGTTCACATATTATTACGTATTTTCCAGGGCGTTTTTTATCAATTCGATAAGATCACGCATTTATGCCATACGAAAGACCTCCTACAAAGCCAATACTAACTGCTATTAAGGCAACCGTGTGGTTAAATTTCCGGTTTCACGCAGATGCTCAGGTTCCGAGAACAATCAATTTCTTATAAAAGTCTAGACTCGCCGTAAATTCTATATTTATATCCAAAGAACGACTGGAAGTCCTGGTCATATTCCATTGCTTTTGGTAAAACAAGGAAATGAAAGGTTCTCACAAAGCATACTGTACAGTTCAAACCCAAAGGTTTCAGTAGAGAGGTTGGTTTTAACTATGTTTAAATTCTGTTTCGGATCTTAGGTGTGCACGAAATTGTGGAAAACCCTCCATCATCATTTGAAGAAATTAGATTCAAAAGGCATCACAATTTGGTCTCAATTCATGTCGCTCGGAAACAATGTTAATTATGCTGATTTTAGTAAGTTTTAGACTTGCTCCGCCTTTTAAGTTTCGGACCATTGAAATACCTGATGAAGATTCTCCATTCAAGCGGACCTAAACTGGTTCGGGAATAGAAGTTTGTGATGAATAATGGAAATTACATTTCAGGGACTTGCCATGTTACCAATATTGGATCTGTTGCTTCAATGTTCAATATTTATTTTCACATTTAAGCTTAACTAGTTATACCTAATAATTATTTTCAGTCTGATATAATATATTTTATTATATGACATATTTAACAAAAAGAATGACAGCCGCATTTATGGATCCCGCTCTAGCTGTAGAGCTCCTGGTTTCGCAAACAAACAATATAATGTATGACAGAACACGCTACTGGCAGCTACTGCTAGAATCTAAACCCCACCTACCCCCCCCCCCCCCCCTTCTCCCTTCATGTTCTCTTTGTTTCTTCTCCCTCCCTTCCTCCTCCACTTCTTTCCCCCATCCGAAATCCGCATTCCACCTCTTCTTTCTCTCATTCCCCCTCCCTCATCCGTCTGTGCACCTTCTCTCCCTCCTCGTTTCCTTCCCTTCCTACACCTCAGAAACTAACTATATTCTTACAGGAGCTGAGTAAGGAGAGCAGAGAGATGCTGGAGTCGTATCAACACTTATTCTATCTGCTGCAGACAAACCCTAAATATCTCGCTAAACTCCTCTTCACAATGCCGCAGGTAATTAGTAATTAACGAATCTTACTTCATAGATCTCTGTTTAATCTAAATATTTATAAGATTGTGGGCAGTATAGCTAGCGGTAATGCGCGTATTTTGTTACTCACAGGATTAAACAGACTATGATTAGTCAAATCTGGATAAAATCGAGGGTGTGAGTCCAGGATTTTTGTGATTTCGACACCTGTTGATATAATCTATTCAATAACTATGATTAGTGATTCTGGATGGAGAGAAATGTCGCCATCTGTATCGTTAAGAAATATTACTGCTTCAATCAGTTCGGTCAGTCGTATCGCACTTTACAATGCAAGGACCTCTTGTACCTAACATTGGCTTTGTCAGAAATAAAATTTTGTGCAGACGAGAATATTCCGTAATTATAAGATGAGTCCATTTAATAATGAAAATGAAATAAAGGATACTATATGTAAAGGCACTCTTTCGGCTCCAATGATTTTGGACGGCGTTTTACATATTTTATAAGTATTTTATAAGCATGTTTAACGCTAAGAATGTTAGTAAATATTGATGATTCGAAGTGTTAAAATCGGCAGTTAAACTCGCATTAGTCCACTTACTACTAAGTAAAACACCTTATTCAGCGTGGGTAAAGTTGATGTGGGAGGACAAAAAAAGGGAGTAATATAACAAATATATAAAATGTGCATATATGATATGTCATTTATGAACTGCTGGAATTTAACCAATGTTTATACTGTAACACTTACTGTCTTACTGAATATAGTGATTCAATTAGTCGAGTAACTATTGCACATAATGCTGTCTAAAAGAGGTACTTGAACGTGTACAAAATTAGGGTATGCATTCTGCAAGAATATCATCAAGACGACTATAATAATTGCTGTAAACCCTCTTGCGCTGTTATAAATCTCACCTGAAACTTCTTCAGAACAACTGCACCAAGTTTATGGAGAGCGTGGTATTGACGATATACAACTACGGAACAAACTCGCGGGAGGAGTGCTTACTGTTACGTCTCTTTGAGAACGCCTTAAAAGAGGAGGTTCAGCGAAAAGTTGACAAAGTTCAGGATATAAGGTTAGAGTAACTCCCTCCCTCCCTCCCTCCCTCCCTCCCTCCCTCCCTCCCTCCCTCCCTCCTCCCTCCCTCCCTCCCTCCCCCCTCCCTCCCTCCCTCCCTCCCTCCCTCCCTCCCTCCCTCCCTCCCTCCCTCCCTCCCTCCCTCCCTCCCTCCCTCCCTCCCTCCCTCCCTCCCTCCCTCCCTCCCTCCCTCCCTCCCTCCCTCCCTCCCTCCCTCCCTCCCTCCCTCCCTCCCTCCCTCCCTCCCTCCCTCCCTCCCTCCCTCCCTCCCTCCCTCCCTCCCTCCCTCCCTCCCTCCCTCCCTCCCTCCCTCCCTCCCTCCCTCCCTCCCTCCCTCCCTCCTCCCTCCCTCCCTCCCTCCCTCCCTCCCTCCCTCCCTCCCTCCCTCCCTCCCTCCCTCCCTCCCTCCCTCCCTCCCTCCCCCTCCCTCCCTCCCTCCCTCCCTCCCTCCCTCCCTCCCTCCCTCCCTCCCTCCCTCCCTCCCTCCCTCCCTCCCTCCCTCCCTCCCTCCCTCCCTCCCTCCCTCCCTCCCTCCCTCCCTCCCTCCCTCCCTCCCTCCCTCCCTCCCTCCCTCCCTCCCTCCCTCCCTCCCTCCCTCCCTCCCTCCCTCCCTCCCTCCCTCCCTCCCTCCCTCCCTCCCTCCCTCCCTCCCTCCCTCCCTCCCTCCCTCCCTCCCTCCCTCCCTCCCTCCCTCCCTCCCTCCCTCCCTCCCTCCCTCCCTCCCTCCCTCCCTCCCTCCCTCCCTCCCTCCCTCCCTCCCTCCCTCCCTCCCTCCCTCCCTCCTCCCTCCCTCCCTCCCTCCCTCCCTCCCTCCCTCCCTCCTCCCTCCCTCCCTCCCTCCCTCCCTCCCTCCCTCCTTCCCTCCCTCCCTCCCTATATTAACTTACATTGTACTATATAATATAATTCCTTTTACATTTACATCATCATTATAATACGAAATCGATTCTACATTAATTTTAATTGAATCAACATTGTGATTCTTCAAATACTTGTGTACAGACAATAAAGACACCAATTAGACTGAAATGTGATCTGTAGAATAGCTGCGTAACTTTTCTTGCGCAGAATTTCAATTTGACTCTAGGAAAGTAGGAAAGTTCTAACTCAACACCAATAAAACGGGTTAAAGTAGTATGTTGTGTCTAAATTGGAGTGCCAAACACACAATATTCAAGGTAGACGTGAATTTAATTAGAACCCCTGTACAGACTCAATAGGATTAATAACAAGTGTTTTATATTATATACATTATATTTTTGTCAGAAGTTTTCATAGCTCTTAGGTATTGATGTGTATACACATACAATATTTCCCAAACCGAAACGTGAGTCGAGCAAATCGTATACATTTAAAATCTAACATGATGCGATAGAAAAATAATATTTTGTCCCTTAATTTAGGGAGAATTACACGGAATATGCCCCTCTTTTACGATATTAAATTTGCTCACTTATATTTCATCCGTGGAAAGTTCTCTCCTGAATCTACACAAAAGCTAACTTTGAGTAGATGTTTTGCAACACAGACTGCGATACCCTTGGGGGGTCCCACGTAATGTTTTACATAATCCACAATGGGGCTATATTACGTAACTGCTCATAATATTGAAGTAACTATGAGATAATTTACGTTCCCATATCGTTACTTACTTTGTTACTTTGTAGGGCTTCATAGAATCCTCTATCGGGCCATCGAAAAAGTCGACCCCCCGGACAGTGTAGAAACTGTTTTATCACCACTCCAATCAAGCAAGGAGTTTCCATTCCGACGGCTGTATCCTGGAGCTGGAGGCTCGTCTGGAAATGACTTCACAAAGTTCGTTAAAGCTACTTTGAATTGCATAGGATCCTCGATGGTGTGCATATGTGTTGGGATTACATTCCATAATCGAGGTCCAGTGACTGCAAATGAGTTGTCATGTAGTGCTTGATTACGTTGACTGCTGGACTTAGCTATACTGGGCACAACTGCTTTTTGACCATGTCTGAGAGTCGCCGAGAACTGGATACCAATATCATTAGGGCACTTGCAATGCAGAACTTTCCACATGTTGATGATTAAATACCGTTCTCTTCTTCTTTGCAATGACATCAGATCTAGGGCCTTTAATCTCTGCCAGTAGTTGAGGTGCTGGATGCCATCTATTATCGATGTAAACGTACGCTGAATCCCTTCTAGCTGTTGGATGTCCTTGTTCTTAGAGCAATTCCACAGAGGACAGCAATACTCCAGATGACTTCTAACGAGAGACTTGTACAGAGTCATCATGGTGGCTTTGTCTCTCGTTTTGAACGCACTTAGCACCCAAGAAGCAACTTTTCCTGCGCGTTCAGCTATCCTGTTGACGTGTGGGGTCCAGGACAAATCAGCGGAAACTGTCACTCCTAGATCTTTCACCGTTTGAGTGGGGTACAGCATGTTTCCGTTAGACACTTCATATGTTTGAGCTTGGATGGCGAATGGATGATCAAACAAGGAGTTCTTGGGACAATGCTTGTGAACAAGAAGCTCGAACTTATCCTCATGAAGGGCCATGTTGTTGCACTTAGCCCAATTAACAACAGAGTTGAGATCATCCTGCAGGACATCTTTGTCGGCCAAACTGTAGATATGCTTAAGAATCCTAGTGTCATCAGCAAAGAATCTGATGACAGACCCTTTAACACATAGCTTCATATCATTTATGAACAGAATGAATAACAGTGGCCCAAGAACGGTGCCTTGTGGAACTCCACTGAGGATTGCGGCAGCAAACGATGATACACCATCTAACACAACACATTGCTTTCTTTCAGTCAGGAAGGATCGGATCCAGTTTACCACCTTCTCATGAAACCCCAATCTCTTCATTTTCAGAAGCAGTAACCGATGATCGACCTTATCAAAGGCTTTGGCAAAATCCAAATATATAGCGTCAGTGTCTGCATTTCTAGTAAGACCTTGAACTATATCGTCTACGTGACTTAACAGCTGGGTAAGGCAGCTTCTTCCTGAGCGGAACCCGTGCTGGTTGTTGCAGAGTAACTGATTTTTCTCAATAAAGTCAACCATTACACCACGGAGGATACGTTCATACACTTTGATGATGTGCGAAGTGAGAGCAACTGGTCTGTAGTTGACTGCCTTGGCCCTGTCACCCTTTTTAAATAGTGGTGTAATATAGGTGTCTTTGTAGAACGATGGCACTGTACCGTTTTCAAATGATTCCTCCCAAATAATACGTATAGGAGAACACAACTCCTTAGCACAGTTTTTCAAGAGAGTTGTAGGTATTCCGTCTGGTCCACAAGCAGAATCTGTAGAGATACTTTTTATAGCTGAAATGATATCTTCGTCACTAATTCTAAAGTCCTCTAGTTCTTGTGGGTGCTGGATAGAGGGAGGGGAGAAAACCGGATCCTTAACATCAGGAGAGGTCGGATCGCTAAACACAGAGCTGAACTGTTCCTGCAGCAGATCGGCCATTTTCTTGGGGTCTGTGGTTATCTCCTGGTTGCTATCAAAGAGCATGTTAATACTGGATTTGATCTTCGACAGAGACTTAGCATAACTGAAAAAGAACTTGGGATTTGTTTTGATCTTTTCAACTGCCCTGGATTCCTTTTCATCAAGTCTCTTGGTATGGGCACATCGAATATCATACTGTAGGAGTGCAACCTTGTTCCTAATATTTCTGATGTGATCGTCAGGTGCACCATTGTTGACTAAGGCATTCAGCCTTGCCTTGAGTCGGTTCCTTTTACGCCGCAAAGCATTGGTATGTTTTGGGCGACCAGAAGGTTTAGCCTTGCGGGGAACATGAGACGAACATATCTGAAAGAGGGTGTCAGTAAACAAGGCTGGAAAGTCTTCAAAAGAGCATGAAGAACGAAGTTGAGACCAGTTAGTGTCTTCTATCTCGTCTCTGAGCGAGCTGAAGTCTGCTTGGAGAAAATCGAGGCATCTGTACGAGTTTTCATCAAACTTCGGCACTGCTGATTTCTCCTGTTCAAGTGGGTTATATGCTAGCATAACATCTACCACGTGATGGTCTGACATTGTTGTGGTTTTGCATTCAACATTTGTAACAACTCGGTTGTTGTTAGTAATAAACAGGTCCAAAACATTGTTTCCTCTCGTTGGACACATTACGTACTGACTCAGCAGATGATCAGACATGAAAGTTAAAAAATGCTGTGCTGACTGCTGAATTTCTTGCGTGCCTCCAGGTTGAACACAATTCGTCTGCCAGTCAATTGAGGGTAAGTTAAAGTCTCCAGTCATCATGATATCGTAGCTGTCGTCATTAATACTACTGATACATACGGAGAAAAAACTGAGGAGTGCTTTAAAGCTTGATAAGGATGCATTAGGCGGACGATAAGCCACAGCAACACATGTCTTTATAGTGCTGAAACTACAGAAAAGTCCCTCACACGTGCCGTCATCAAACGTGTTACACTCACTGACCGGTAAGTTGACATGAGAGTAGAGTAGAACACCCCCTCCCACCCTTGCATCACGGTCGCTGCGAGATACCGAATAGCCTGGTATTTGCAGTTGTGCGTCTGACATATAGGACTTGAGCCACGTTTCCGTAAGTGCTATAAACGGTAACGAGTGGTTTCTGGATTTCTCATCTTGAATAAGAGCTGAGATTTCTGGCACTTTCCATCTACTCGTACTTGATGCACTAGGATTCATGGACTGGACATTTAAGACGAGGCATGAGGAATAAGGGGCACGTGTGTCCTCTGAGGCGGTAGGAACTGCGGGTACTGGTAGTGGTATAGTGGGAGTGCTGTTCCTGGCTGAAGAGGTGGAGGTGGTCCGGGGTAGTGGTAGGGCATTTGAGTTCTATAGACTTCGAACCTAGTACCCTTACGCTAAGATGGTTTGATATAATTCGACCACTTTCACATAAACATATTTTAAGCCTCATTATTCCCATTTTATATCCGCTCTTAAAAGTGGATCTGTAACCCTCACGTGTCTTAGTTCTTAATTTTTAGAAACTTAATTTTACGTCAATTAACAGTGGCTAACTAAATAGAAAATGATGGAATCTCAGCTGGTAGTGATCATACTTACCTCAATAACCATTGTAAGATAACCTTTAACCAGTTCAACTGCTCTACATACCGGCCCAGTGAGGCTCCCTCCCCCTTTATATTTCAATACTTTTTAACAAAAGGTCGTCTGAAGAGCATATCAGATCTAAGGAGACCTTATCGTGACTTCCCAGATTGTTCAGAGGGTCCGAGAATTAAGGAGGATATTGTTGACTGTACTTATAATTTAAACCGAAGAGGATGTAGTGACATTTAATGATACACCAGAAATTTATTTCTGTGAGGGAACGCAACATTGGGTACACAACAACGTGGCCCGTCCAATTTCAGATCTCCTTATTTGGGCATCACGTGACCCGTCCAATTTCAGATCTCCTTATTTGGGCATCACGTGACCCGTCCAATTGCAGATCTCCTTATTTGGGCATCACGTGACCCGTCCAATTTCAGATCTCCTTATTTGGGCATCACGTGACCCGTCCAATTGCAGATCTCCTTATTTGGGCATCACGTGACCCGTCCAATTTCAGATCTCCTTATTTGGGCATCACGTGACCCGTCCAATTTCAGATCTCCTTATTTGGGCATCACGTGACCCGTCCAATTTCAGATCTCCTTATTTGGGCATCACGTGACCCGTCCAATTTCAGATCTCCTTATTTGGGCATCACGTGACCCGTCCAATTGCAGATCTCCTTATTTGGGCATCACGTGACCCGTCCAATTGCATATCTCCTTATTTGGGCATCACGTGACCCGTCCAATTGTCTAAATGTCAGGGAGTTCATTTAACCAAATTATATTATGTTATTCTGGAACTATCCTGTATTCAGTTTTTCTGGTCAACCATGTTAAGTTATTGCCTGTTTAGGCTAAGAAGTAGAATCGTCAGTTAAATAGAATCGTCGGATAAATGAACTTTCGCTTGTAGTTGAAAATGCGGATAGTAATGTAAAATAAGCCAATACGCAGTGTTCATTATGTGTTGTTGCACCTTTGTAGAGTGTAAATATAAAATCACTGGTAGCTCAGCTGAAACCATGATCATTGTTCAACAAACTTAATTTGTAAGGATATTTAAAAAGAAATTAAGTAGGTTAATTTGTTGAAAGAAAGAATTTAGGTAGGATATAGTCAGTCTAGTTTATTTATACATCGGAGATTGAGACGTACAAAAGTGTTAAGCTCAATAACGGTATAGTTTAGAAACCTTGGGTAGGCAACACTAGACTCACATGTATTATTCAAATCTTACGTTTCCTCAGCCAACTTGGTTGTTGGAATGGCTACAGTTATATAGAGATGAAAATAGTTAACGATTACCTTTTTTCAGTACGGGTTCACCAACTGTTATCAAGATAGTTGTTGGATACTACAGAGGAACACAGGGCAACCAGAACTCTCTCAAGTAAGTCTCCTACAACTTTTATACCAATTTGTAGACCACAATAATAGCAGCTAGTATAGCCCTATATTATAGTATAGCTAGTATAGCCCTATATTATAGTATAGCTAGTATAGCCCTATATTATAGCTAGCTAGTATAGCCCTATATTATAGTGTAGCTAGTATATAGCTCTATATTATAGTATACCTAGCTAGTATAGCCCTATATTATAGTATAGCTAGTATAGCCCTATATTATAATAGTATATAGCTAGTATTATATAGCTCGATATTATAGTATAGCTAGCTAGTATAGCTCGATAGAGACTGTAGCGTACGTCCCAAGTCTCTCTAGCTACTTTACTACTGTAGATAACTTACTGTTGGTCGATTCTTGCAACAAGCTTGCTATTGCAAATATGCCTAATTGTTACGAGCACGATGGAAGCCAGCTAAAAAACTGCACAAAGTTTTGAGGAGATCCGATCTCAAATTTATATTATTATTGTTATGTAGAATTCCGATCTAGCTATTAGCATTGTTCTCATATTTCAAGTAATTGTCATAGTTCCCTCTGAGATATATCCACGGAGTGGGACTGAGAACAAAGACTTTACCTCCCAAATTCCATCTCCCCCCTCTGTAGAAATATCAACACAAATGTACCGCATTATTTGAGGGAGCTTGTCTTGTTACTCTGTCAAGCTTACTTTGAGAAGTCTTGGTGCATTCATTGGAACTCAGCTTGCAGCTAACTCAACGTGCTGTCAACGCGCTTACATGATTAGCAATGGAGGATGAGTGTATTAATCCTGAGAGAGAGAGAGAGGGAGAGAGAGAGAGAGAGAGAGAGAGAGAGAGAGAGAGAGAGAGAGAGAGAGAGAGAGAGAGAGAGAGAGAGAGAGAGAGAGAGAGAGAGAGAGAGAGAGAGAGAGAGAGAGAGAGAGAGAGAGAGAGAGAGAGATGATGGATGAGTGTATTAATCCTCCTCGCTAAATCTCAATCCTTTTGTGAACCCGACATTTCAGAGATTTGAGGAGGATTAAAGTAAGATAACTAATGTAAAATCCGGATTGGAATATTGTTTATGAGTCGCATGGTTGCAATGTATTCTCGTGTAAATTTGTAAGATAACGAATACATGATACAAATGTTTGAGAGGTAACAGCTAACATTAAGCTCACTCTTAAGACAGCAGTCATAGGACAGTGCCCATACTGCTATTCATGATTGGGGCCTGTCAGACCTGCTCCTCCCAATTCATAATAATTAATTAGACATAACTCCAACATAATACATATGCTACCGATACACTTGCCCTGTCGAAAAGGTGAACCCATCTTGTTGTGGTTACTATTTAGGCAGTAGAGTCCATGGCCATCCGATCCCCCACAAGGCGCAACCTAGACCAATTAATGGAAGTAAAGCACCTTGCGCAGTTCTCAAATAGCCACTGTGTTTGATAGGACACAAAATGTGGGACGATAAGAATAAGACCGTTAGTACGTGTTTAAAAAGGATCAGGAGTATATTACTAAGGTAGAGACAAGATTAGATTACTTCATTACTTAGCTAGAGACAGGAAACTCTCTGATGATCATTAGTAATACATGTAATATAATATAACATGTAATATATATCACTGTTTCTATCATGATGTGGTCGTATCATTGCTGAATAATTTTCTTGGAAATGACTTTATTTCTAAGTATCTTATTTAAACTTAAGTAAAAGTGCTTCGCAGAGGCCGTATTCTAAAGACGACACTATGGACATCAATGTGGAAGGTCTCCCAATACAGCAGGTCAGCAGCTTCACTTACTTGGGTGCTATCATCAGTGCGGATGGAACAATTGACAAAGAACTATCAGCTCGAATTCAGAAGGCCTCTGGGGCATTCTATCAGCTTAGCAGTATATGGTACAGTCGCAACATCAAGACACCGACTAAAATCAGGATCTACAAAGCGGCTGTCCTCACTATACTGCTTTATGGAAGTGAGGTATGGAATACCACACAGGCGCAGATGAAAAGATTTGAGGTGTTCCATCATAGATGTCTGAGAAGAATCCTGAAAATCAAATGGTTTTATCACGTATCTAATGCTGACGTACGTAAGCGGGCCAACATCGCCCCTGTTGATACTTTCGTACGAGCAGCTAGGCTCCGATGGTTTGGCCATGTGGTGAGGATGCCAGAAGAAAGAATACCCAACTATCTTCTGCACTGGATCCCAAAGCATGGTAAAAGATCAAGAGGTAGACCTCGGAAAAACTGGCTGTCATGTGTCCGGGAGGATGCAGCAATCTTCACAGGTGTCGATAACATCACGATAGAAGATGCAGAACAACAAGCAACAAACAGGGTACATTGGAGAGGCCTAATACATCGGAGAAAGGAGTTACTATGTGGTGCAGGCCACTCCAACGACTAGGAGGAGACCTTTTCAAGTACAAGAAGTAATCTTATTTAAACAGGGTGAAGTACACACTATAAAGATACCGTAGCGTTGTTACCAACGATTTCTTTGTACAAATACAAATACACGATCCATTAGAACAGTTGGTTCGCCTCAATTGGTCTGATCCCGGTCTTTATGAAGACCATGCTCACTGAATAGGAACGATTACTCCGATGTTGTGTGAAGCGACCTTGCCGCCGGATGTGTAAATACACACCATGTACACTGTACAAATTGATGTCGTGATGCAATGCTACATGATAAATTCCTAACGTGTTTTAGCTCCTTGAAATCGGATTTGCGCGACCAGGATCTTGACTAGAAATATTTATTATACAAGGCGAAACATTACAAAATTGGCGTTTAGTAACAGGTCACAAGAAAACCCCGGCTTGAATGAAGTGTGAGGTCAAGTTTATTATTCTATGTGAACGCATATAATCTGTTTATTATTCTGCGTGCCCATTATTCTGTGCGCATAAAAGTAATAAAAGTAATGATATTATCACTCAACTTTTATCATATAGTTGGTTCTTTTACCAGCATTTACTAAATCATCTAAGGCTGCATCTAAGGTCATTACTCATCCAATGGTTTGACATGTCAAGAGTTAGAAATATATTATCAAGATATAATATCTGAAATATTAGACGCAATATCAGGGGGCATTAATTAATTGGATGACATGATCAAATCTACAAGATTGACAGTATCCTCTACTCTCATATACCCGCACGCGCCGCACGGCACATAATCAATTAATCGCTTATTAATAGCGGCAGTTTCCCTGAAATTAAAGAAACCATCTCTCTCTCTCTCTCTCTCTCTCTCTCTCTCTCTCTCTCTCTCTCTCTCTCACTCTGTCTGGCTGGATTCTAAATTTGTCCCTGGCAAGAGCTGACAGGAAATGGAGGTGGAGTTGTATGAGGAAATAGTGAAACACAACCATTGTTCACAATCATAGCTCAACATTTAGTTGAGCTACATGCATCAACAAACTGTTCTAGTACACATAATATTATGACACATAATATTATGACACATATTATTATGACACATAATATTATGACAAACAGTAAGTCTTATAGACCAATCGCTTATTAATTATTTTGTACAATCGTCAAAATGTGCTGAATTATAATCGTTAGCGGGGAAAGTGTACATTAATACAAGAGTACACAGTTCTAGACACTTACGTGAGAGTAATTGCAGACCTCAACACCCCCCACTAGAAACAGTTCAATGTACCGGAACTGTAATGTCCAAGCTAGTGGTTATTACATCAACCCTGAATCTCCTCAGCATGTAATTATCTCCTCGGAGAAACAATTCTTCAGTAGAGATAAGCGGCCAGTATGTCCGCTTTTTGAGTCTACCAGATCCGATATAATTAGCTTGAAACATGTGTGTTGCTAGTGTGATTATTATATGTGATGGCTGGTAAGACAAAAGTATGTCCTACTGACTCTGTCTGAGGGAACTAATTGTCTGACAGGTCGGGGAGCTCTAGGAGAGAGATATATGACGTTGTGATGACGTCAGGCCCTGACATTGGGGTAGCTATCTAGAATAGGTGTGACTAACGACCCTCCCAAACAGCGTGGTGGCCGCTAACCAACGTGGTGGCATTTAACCTGATATGATTGAGGGTGCTCCCTCTATCTCTCAAGTATTCTGTTAGTAACCAAACAGCTTGGTGGCATTTAGCCTGGTATAGAGGGTGCTCCCTCTATCTCTCAAGTATTCTGTTAGTAACCAAACAGCGTGGTGGCATTTAGCCTGGTATAGAGGGTGCTCCCTCTATCTCTCAAGTATTCTGTTAGTAACCAAACAGCTTGGTGGCATTTTACCTGGTATTGAGGGTGCTCCCTCTATCTCTCAAGTATTCTGTTAGTAACCAAACAGCCTGGTGGCATTTAGCCTGGTATAGAGGGTGCTCCCTCTATCTCTCAAGTATTCTGTTAGTAACCAAACAGCCTGGTGGCATTTAGCCTGGTATAGAGGGTGCTCCCGTATCTCTCAAGTATTCTGTTAGTAACCAAACAGCGTGGTGGCATTTTACCTGGTATAGAGGGTGCTCCCTCTATCTCACAAGTATCTCAAGTATTCAGTTAGTAACCAAACAGCGTGGTGGTATTTAACCTGGTATAGAGGGTGCTCCCTCTATCTCACAAGTATTCTGTTAGTAACCAAACAGCTTGGTGGCATTTTACCTGGTATTGAGGGTGCTCCCTCTATCTCTCAAGTATTCTGTTAGTAACCAAACAGCCTGGTGGCATTTAGCCTGGTATAGAGGGTGCTCCCGTATCTCTCAAGTATTCAGTTAGTAACCAAACAGCCTGGTGGCATTTTACCTGGTATAGAGGGTGCTCCCGTATCTCTCAAGTATTCTGTTAGTAACCAAACAGCCTGGTGGTATTTAACCTGGTATAGAGGGTGCTCCCTCTATCTCACAAGTATTCTGTTAGTAACCAAACAGCTTGGTGGCATTTTACCTGGTATAGAGGGTGCTCCCGTATCTCTCAAGTATTCAGTTAGTAACCAAACAGCCTGGTGGCATT